TAACTTTTGCAGTTTTAAAAATTAGCAACATTATTACCCAAGTACCTTCAGTTCTTTGGGCTTAGTTGGGCTTTCTGAAACTGGTTATTTTAGAATTATGTACTGCCTTTCTTGGCATCAGAACCAGTACAATTGCTTGCAGAGTATGATTGGATTTAACAAAATCCTACAAGACAAATATGCCAAGGAGAAGCATGCATCTCTTTTTCGTTTTGCATCTATCTTTTTTTTTTTTTTTAAACTGCATTAAGGATTATAGTCTGGAAGGTTTAATACAAAATTAATCTTCAGAATATCCAACTTCTGTCATGAGTAGGTCTCCCTAGTGGGGATCATAAGCCTTTCCTTCTTTGTACACCAATTTGATTTTAAAATCCCTATCTTTTTATAACTTCAAAATGATCTATTTGCCATTGTTTATTGACTGGACAACAAATATATAAAGAGAGAAAACTTAATAACTATACAGGTTTCAGAGTGGTAGCTGTGTTAGTCTGTATCCGCAAAAAGAATGAGTATTACTTGTGGCACCTTAGAGACTAACAAATTTATTTGGGCATAAGCTTTCGTGGGCTAAAACCCACTTCATCGGATGCATGCAGTGGGAAATTCAGTAGGAAGATATATATACACAGTGAACATGAAAAAATGGGTGTTGCCATACCAACTCTAACAAGACCAGTTAAGGTAGGCTATTATCAGCAGGAGAAAAAAAAGCTTTTGTAGTGATAATCAGGATGGTCCATTTCAAACAGTTGACAAGAAGGTGTGAGTAACAGTGGGGGAAAAATTAGCATGGGGGAATAGTTTTTATTTTGTGTAATGACCCATCCACTCCCAGTCTTTATTCAAGCCTAATTTAATGGTGTTTAGTTTGCAAATTAATTCCAGTTCTGCAGTTTCTTTTTGGAGTCTGTTTTTGAAGTTTTTTTGTTGAAGATTTGCAACTTTTAGGTCTGTAATTGAGTGACCAGGGAGCTTGAAGTGTTCTCCGACTGGTTTTCAAATGTTATAATTCTTGACGTCTGATTTGTGTCCATTTATTCTTTTGCGTAGAGACTGTCTGGTTTGGCCAGTGTTCATGGCAGAGGGGCATTGCTGGCATATATCACATTGGTAGATGTGCAGGTGAATGAGCCTCTGATAGTGTGGCTGATGTAATTAGGCCCTATGATGGTGTCCCTTGAATAGATATGTGAACAGAGTTGGCAATGGGCTTTGTTGCAAGGATAGGTTCCTGGGTTAGTGTTGTGTGGTGTATGGTTGCTGGTGAGTATTTGCTTTCAGGTTTGGGGGCTGTCTGTAAGTGAGGACTGGCCTGTCTCCCAAGATCTGTGGGAGTGAGGGATTGTCCTTCAGGATAGGTTGTAGATCCTTGATGATGCATTGGAGAGGTTTTTGGTGGGGGCTGAAGGTGATGGGTAGTGGCATTCTGTTACTTTCTTTGTTGGGCCTATCCTGGAGTAGGTGACTTCTGGGTATTCTTCTGGGTCTGTCAATCTGTTTCTTCACTTCAGCAGGTGGATATTGTAGTTTTAAGAATGCTTGATTAGAGATCTTGTGGGTGTTTGTGTCTGTCTGAGGGATTGGAACAACTGCGGTTATATCTTAAAGCTTGGCTGTAGACAATGGATCGTGTGGTGTGGTTTGGATGAAAGCTGGAGGCATGTAGGTAAGTATAGAGGTCAGTAGGTTTCGGAATAGGGTGGTGTTTATGTGATCATTGCTTATTAGCACTGTAGTGTCCAGAAAGTGGATCTCTTGTGTGGACTGGTCCAGGCTGAAGTTGATGGTGGGGATGGAAATTGTTGAAATCATGGTGGAATTCCTAAGGGCTTCTTTTCCATGGATCCAGATGATGAAGATGTCATCAATGTAGTGCAAGTAGAGTAGGGGCGTTAGGGGACGAGAGCTGAGGAAGCGTTGTTCTAAGTCAGCCATAAAAATGCTAGCATACTGTGGCGTCATGCGGGTACCCATAGCAGTGCTGCTGACTGAAGTGAAGAAGTGCAGCGTCCCTCCCTGCCACAGGCCTGAGAACCTGTGCAGTGCTTATTAGGCTGCTATATGGCTGTGCAGCTTAGAGGGAACTTAGATACCAACCTAATTTCATAGTGTGGACCAGGCCAGACCCCCAAAGATTTAGTGAGTTCCATGTGCTACCTTGGGTAAAACTTAACAAATTGAGATTATCACATCAATAGGTAGATCTCTAGCTCTGTGCAAAAACGAGCAAACAAAACCCTTAAAACTTGTTAAAAATGGCAGGTTTTTTCAGGGCTTATATTTCTGGAAACCCTGGCTCATGGGACTCATACTTTGGGTCACTAAATCTATCTTCCACCCTCCAGAGGCACACCACATTACTAAGAAATCGGACTAAGCATGTCCATTTTAGAGGACTTAAAAAGGTCGACCTTTTAAAATGTGGTGACATTACCCTAACTGCAGTGGCGCTGTCGTGCCACTGTAATCGCCCATGATGTGCTAGACACTTCACAGCAAAGAAAGATGATATAGTTGCTTCAAAGAACTTACAATCTAAATTTTACAGGTGTGGGTGATACGGAATAGGGAGTTAAGGGGCACTGAGAATAAGAGTTGGAAGCATTAAGATCACATGGTTGGTCAGTCTAGGTAAGAGTGTGTCTTGGTGGTTCTGTGGTTTTTGTTGTGTGTGTTCTATATAAAAATTAGAGTAAAGATATAAGATGACTAAAATTGATTTACTTGCAGTGTGGAAGTTATGGAATTGAGTTTTCAAGGGAGATTTAAATGAGGAGTGTGTGTTATAGCTTGGTGGACCATTGTAATCCTAATTGTAAAGAACCACATGCACGCATACTATGGCACAGTTCTGTAAGTGGAAACCCTTTTGCAGAGAACCATGCGATATACGTGTAATACCTAGGTACTAGGATACCAGCTGGAATTTTTTGCGGGGAGTAGAGAATGCTGAATAGGGCTTTAAATTCTATTAATTTCAATTTAAATATTTTGTCTTAAATTTGTGCTCGTTTTTTCAAAAACGAGCTTTTTGTTCATCTTCACTTTTTAGCTCGTATGAATTCTGATACTCAGGCACTGTGTAAATCTTGTTGCTGATCCCCCTCACACATCTTAAATCCATGTGACCGTTCAAGTTAAGAGCAAGGCTGAGTACAGCCACATGTTTTCCTACTAGGCTGAGCATTATTAAAGGCTACACCCTGTTGTGTTTAGGACAGTACTGAGGGAAGGAATTAGCAAAACAAAAGCTTCCTACAGCAAGCCAGTCCTGTAATCTGCACTTACTGTTAATTACCCTAAATGTAGAAGATAATTCAATTTTAGTTTACCGTTTTGTCACGTAATGAGTACAGTGCAAATGTTCACTTTCTTTTCACATTTCGCTTAAGAGGTAGAAATACAAATAGCCTTGTTTTTAAAAATGCAGTTATTTCTTATCAGTACTGTTAAAATTAAATTTTTAATTATTTGTTTTTGGATTAAGATTTTAAATTTTGGTATATCTCTCACTTTGTAATGTTTAGATCCTGGCAAATAGTCGGGCATTTTTTAATGAGTCCCTATAATTTTTGAGCATAGTATGTAGAATGTTCTTAAATATAGATTTTTTTTTACCAGTGAAATCTATCCATCAGAATATTTGTGTTGCCTGACTGAAACTTCTCTTATATATTTTCACTTGATCCTCCCCAAGGAATCAGTGTTTCTAGTTTGATCTTGGATACGTAGTTGTCCATCTTTTACAATGATCTTCCCTCCAAGTCTGCCATCAGAATCAGATCTTAAAAATGCTCCTCATTATTTAAATTAGCTATCATCCGTGGTGAGTGTTCAGCATGTACCAATGATGTGAAGAAATTCTTCTTGTGGTAAAGACTGAATAATGTTTTAATCAATCTGTGGACTGGGATGAGAGGGTATAAACTGGAGTCATGTATTATCAGTACACTGTATAACTGCAATTGATATGAAAGGAAGTTTTTATGCAAAGGTGTAGTTTGGCCTTCAATAATTAACTTAAGGCACCCTACTCCTGCAAGGAGCTCCCCAGGGACAGATCCTTGCACTTGTGAAGTTCCTTGCAGGATCAAGGTCTAACCTCTCAGTAACTCTTATGTCCAGAGTCACTAAATTGAAAAAATGGATAACAAGATCAGACATCAGTATTATTGCCCTTTATTTCTTTCTCTCCATCTCCTTCAGTTTCTCTTTTTGCATTTTCCCCTTTCTCTGTCTCTATTTTGGTCTCTGAGTTTCTCTTGTCTTTCCTCTCTCTCCCGTCCTGCCCCCCTCTTGACACTCTGACCTCCATGTATATCAGTCAATCAGTTTAGGTTCTTATACCTTTCCTGTTATGATGGTGTTGGAGCTGGTGTTCTCTGTCTACAAGGAAGTAGAAATGCTTTAGATGTGGAAGACTACAGAGGGAAGTTGACTAGCATTCTAGTTAGTTTATCTCATCACTTCTTCCACATTTAAAGTACTTCATGGAGAGACAGGTACTGTTTCCATTAAGCTCTTTAAACTGGGAGGCTATTGGAAAAAACAACTGACTTCTTTAGGACTGTTCGCCAACTTCATCTTGTAGCCTTGCCACTAAAGCATGTGAGCAGGCTGCTTGAAGACTTTTCAGAGAGTTCAGTGATGGCTAAGTGGGCAGGGGGGACTCTCTTCTGTAAATTGCATTTTCCTTTTCCACACAGCTGCCAGTTTTTCTTTCCCCAGATTTAAATTGGTTTTCTTCCCTCTGTGGTGTGAGGTGGAGAGTTGAGGGGCTTTTTAAGTGTCGGGAATTGATTAGAATCGTCATGAAATGCATACAAAATGTACCTGAAATGCTGATGGCTAAAACAATACCATTTACAAATGTATCTGATGTAATTAAGATAGAGCTAATCTACAGCTATATAATGCTATTGTTAATATGTTTATAGTTTTGCGGGGTTTTCTTTCTTGTACAATATATTCTTTTTTTTTTTTTTTAAACCTAGCGGTATTTTCTTGTTGGGAGTAATCATGCAGAGACCAAGTATCGTGTTTTGAAAATTGATCGCACTGAACCAACAGATTTAGTTATAATTGATGATAAGGTAAGTTCAGAACAGCTGAAAAATGTACTCATGAGTATTTCATGATGCTATCAATTTCACATGTGTGATTTGTTTTCTACATAAATGGCAGCCAAACTTTTCTCTTAGTACAAATGCGTAACTCTGTTACATCATACTTCCATGACACTCAGTTTCTGTTAGCTGTGCAGTTTGTTAGCTATGATCTCCTAATGTCAAGTAATAGATGTGAGTTTTGTCTTACGTTCAGCTGTGTCATTCTGAAATGCAAAATGAACTCGCTTAACTACTGCTTACCTAAATGCTTGAAGTTGGTTTGAAATCACTTACACAGCTGAAGCAAGATGAGCAACAGACAACAAAGCTTGGTACTGTACAGAATAGAGTAAGACATGGTGCCTGCCCCAAGGATTTTATGGTGTAATGCCCAGCACGTCAAAGATTTACACACCTGCTTAACTTCATAAACATGTGCAATTACTTCCTTACTTTTACTTCAGGGGGAATACTGATGTGTATAAAGTTATGGATATGCATATGTTTTTGGAGGATGAGGGCATGAGGCATCAATCCTGCAAAGAGATCTGCCTGCACTGGGTACTGTACCATTCCACTCAGTGGAATTCTAACAAATTCACAGTCCATTTTGGTCAATTTCATGGTCATAGGATTTTAAAAATCATAAATTTCATGATTTCAGATATTTAAATTTGAAATTTCATGGTGTTGTAATGGTAGGGATCCTGACCCAAAAAGAAGTTGAGGGGTGGGAGGGAGGATTGCAAGTTTATTGTTGTAGGAGGTTGTGTTACTCCTACCTCCTACTTCTGTGCTCCTGCTGGTGGTGACACGGCCTTCAAAGTTGAGCGACCTGAAAGCGGTGGCTACTAGCTGGGAGCCCAGCTCTGAAGGCAGAGCCACCACCACCAACAGCAGCAAAGAAGTAAGGATGGCATGGTGTGGTATTGCTACCCTTACTTCTGCACTGTTGCCTTCAGAGCTGGGCCCTTGGTCCGCAGTTGTCACTCTCCAGCTGCCCAGTTCTGAAGGCAGCAGTGCAGAAGTAAGAGTGACATGCTATGATATTGCCACCCTTACTTCTGTGCTGCTGCTGGTAGGGCGCTACCTTCAGAGCTAGGCACCTGGCCAACAGCAGCCACTCTCCGTCCACCAACTCTGAAGGCAGCGCAGAAGTAAGGGTGGCAATACTAAAATAACCCAATAACGACCATCCCCAGCAACTCCCTTTTGGGTCAAGGCCCCCAGTTTGAGAAATGCTTGTCTCCCCCATTAAATTTGTATAGTATAGGGTAAAAACACAAAAGATGAGATTTCATGTCAGGAGACCAGATTTCACGGTCTGTGACACGTTTTTCATGGCCCTGAATTTGGTAGGGCACTAGACAAGTGTCCACATAGACCCTAGTTCTACAAAATAATTTGTTTAAGAAGACAATTACTGAAAACTGTTAAAGTACAGAAAATACAAGGCGACCACATGGTTGGATGTATTGCAGGGCAGAAGGATTTTTCTCCATTCCAATGAAAAAAAGTCCTAGCACTTCAATAAATGGAGATTAATGCCGATAGATTTTGTTACAAATGAGGAGACAAATTAGGATAAGAAAATTATTAAATTATCAGATACAATTATTTAATTTATTTGAATAAGACTAAAAATGTAACTTAATAACAAATACACTTTTTATTAAATGAGCAATTTTTCTTTTAAAGGAAATTTAAAAAATAATTTTAAACAATCACTGTGGTGGACTAGGTACTGGCTATCTTATAGACTGTTTGATCTTGGACTCAAGCTTGACAGTGGAGATCAGGTCCCAAAAATACAATTTTGCTTTGTAATCTTGACCACATATGCTATGAAATTGAGAGCCAATAAACAATGGAAGCCATGATGTTCTCTTTAGTCACTTTTCAGAACAGAACTGTGCAATTAAATAAACACTATTCTGTGATGTAAAGTAACAATGATAACCAAAAGAATAAGTTCAATATGCATTTCTATTTTCAGCATGTGTACACACAACAAGAGGTGAGGGAACTTCTTGGCCGCCTAGATCTGGGAAATAGAACAAAGATTGGACAGAAGGGCTCCTCTGGGTTATCTCGAGCGGTCTCCGCTTTCGGTGTTGTAGGTAATCCCCTTGTTTCTTTGATGGTATTTTTTTTTTAGGAAAGTATAACTCGGAGCACAAGTGGTAATTGCAGTACTTTTCACCAGTCAGGATATTATCCACTCTACACAGAGATCATGTAGCAAAGTAACAAAGTACACTATTTTGCACTTTTTACAGTGACTTTATAGGTGTTGCTTGTATCACACTTACACAGGCATGAGCAGTCAGTGGGAGAGCTGGATTTAAAATGTCAAGTCCATATGTCATTTGATCTCAACAGCATTCCAACCAGGAATGAATCAGCATTTAAGCAGCACTGGAATTTGGTCCTTACTTTAGTCTGCCAGAGCCTGAATCTTGATTTCACGGTATGCTGCTAGTCTCATCTGTCCACCCTGGCCTGCCTCCCTCCCCTTGCCCAAAAGCATCTGAGTTCACTTTCCAATATTTTATTAGAAGATGTCCTAAATGAATATTAGAAAGTGTGCTGCAACAGTCCACCAGGTTTGAAGGTGATTAATTTGCATCAATATGCTCCTCAACATCTGAATTCAAGGCTGCAGAGAAAGTAGAGATTATGACTACTTTGAAGACCACTGTAAAGAAAGATTGAGACATGACATAGCACTGCATTGCTGCAAGAGGATCATTTACTGAGGTTTCATTACATTTGTCTGTCTTGTTTGCTTTAATATCCCCATATTAATAGGAAATGCCAAGTTAAACTGGAAAATTCGGAACTCTCCTTTGTTTAGAAGTTATGAGCAGTGTTCATTCTTTGTAAGAGGAATGAGAGCAGAATCACAGAAGCGTAGGACTAGAAGGGAGTTCGGGAGGTCACCTAGTCCAGTCCCCTGCACTCATGGCAGGACTAAATATTATTGAGACCATCTCTGACAGGTGTTTGTCTAACCTGCTCTTAAAATCTCCAATGATGGAGATTCCACAACCTCCAAAAGCAAATTATTCCGGTGCTTAACTACCCTGACAGTTGGACATTATGAAAAACTTCCCAACTTAAACCTTACTGCAATTTAAGCCCATTGCTTCTTGTCCTATCCTGAGAGGTTAACAAGAACAGTTTACCTTCCTCCTCCTTGTAATAACCCTATTTCCTCATGTTAAGTATCCTCACACCTTCATGTCAACTGTCCAAAATGGGCCATCTTGATTATCACTTCAAAAGTTTTTTCCCCCTTCTGATAATAGCTCCTCTTAATTCATTAGCCTCTTACAGTTGGTATGGGTACTTCCACCTTTTCATGTTCTCTGTATGTATAAATATCTTATTACTATATGTTCCATTCTATGCATCCAATGAAGTGGGCTGTAGCCCACTAAAGCTTATGCGCAAATAAATTTGTTAGTCTCTAAGGTGCCACAAGTACTCCTGTTCCTTTATGTACTAACTGTCATGTTCCCTGTTAGTCTTCTTTTCTCCAGACAGAATTCTGGTAATGATCTCAGTAAATACCTTGCTGACGCCCCAAAATTCAGGAATCTATTGGACCATTTATATTATCCAAGTGTGATGTGATAGTCCATTCAGTTGGACAGTGACCTTGTTTACTCAGAATTCTGCAACATGCCTTGGTTATTCATATAAATACACATTTTTCATCATAGGAAAGTTGGAATTGTCATAGCTAGTCAGACTAGTGGTTCATTTCGTCTGGTATATTGTTTCCAGAAGCTTTTGAAGAATAACACACACACATTCTTCCAATCCATGCACAGATGTTACTTATCTCATCCCTTAAAGCATAAGGTTTATATTTCTTATTTTTATAGTCCTTATTTCTCACTTCAGGCCATTGATTTTCTCTCTTTTTAAATTGTAAGTTTTGTGAAAATGGTAACTGTAAAAATTTAGTTCATGCATAAAAATGCAACTTGTTTGGCAGATTGTATAACAGAGAATTTAAAAAAAAATCAAAGGCTAACATCTGATTTACATACTGGTGAGGAGGTTTTTTTGAAAACTAGTGAGTGTGTGCTCTGAACATATTTAGGCATTCAAGTCTCTGAAACAGGTTTACCGAACAGCAGGAAGGTTCAGTGTTCTGGAGGAATTCTAAGTAATTTCTCTCAGATTTCTGAAGATGCCATAATAGTATACTTTAAAAAATAAAGCTGTTTGATAAAGCATATCAGACATTTAAGATGTATATTTGATGTGATATTTTTGTTGAGCAAAAATTGAATGAAAGCCATATCCTAGCCTCTCACCGATCCACATAAGTGACACCTTTCCATGACCTTTCGCTCTTAGTGGAACCACATAGGAGTTCTTCACCTGGCTCCTGGAAAGCGGTGTGGAGTACCTTTCCAAATTCCAGCTTCTGGGAAAGAGAATTTATTGACCCTACCTAATTTTCTATAACCCCCTCTTGTGGTTGGGACTGGGACAGGCAATATCCAGGAAGCTGGGAAGGAGAGAGCTCTATTTACCACTGCTTATGGCTTATTCTAGGAGAATAACACTCTGATGCTCAAATGAGAAAATATGATTTTAGTCCATTCTCCAATCACTTTGCAAAGCAGGTAGAGCATGTGGATGCCAATCAGTACCCATGTTTAGGGGTAGGCCAAGTTCTAGTTTACTATTTAAAAAAAAAATGTGCAGAAACCCTTTATGTCAGTGTAACCTATCATTTAAATCAGCTTCTGTACCAGATGACTGGAGGATAACTAATGTGATGCCAATTCTTAAAAAAGGCTCCAGAGGTGATCCTGGCAATTACAGGCCGGTAAGCCCAACTTCGGTCCCAGGCAAATTGTAATTATAGTAAAGGACAGAATTGTCAGACACGCATTTGAACACGATTTGTTGGGGAAGAGTAAAGAGAAATCATGCCTCACCAATTGAATAGAATTCTTTGGGGGGGGATCAACACACATGTGGACAAAAGTGATCCCGTAGATATAGTGTACTTGGACTTTCAGAAAGCCTTTGACAAGGTCCCTCACCAAAGGCTCTTAAGCCAAGTAAGCAGTCATGGGATAAGATGGAAGGCCCTCTCATGCATCAGTAACTGGTTAAAAGATAGGAAACAGAGGGTAGGAATGGTCAGTTTTCAGAATGGAGAGAGGGAAATAGCGGTGTCCCCCACGGATCTATACTGGGACCAGGACAACATTGTTCAACATATTCATAAATGATCTGGAAAAAGGGATAAACAACAAAGTGGCAAAGTTTGCAGATGATACAAAATTACTCAAGATAAGTTCAAGGCAAACTGAGAAGAGTTTCAAAGGGATCTCTCAAAACTGGTTGACTGGGCAACAAAATGGCAGATGAAATTCAATGTTGATAAATGCAAACTAATGTACATTGGAAAACATAATCCCAACTATACCTACAAAATGATGGGGTCTGAATTAGCTGTTACTACTCAAAGAGAATTTGGAGTCATGGTGGATAGTTCTCTGAAAACATCCACTCAGTGTGCAGCAGAAGTCAAAAAAGCTAAGATGATGTTAGGAACCATTAGGAAAAAGAGATTAGACAGTAAATATCATAATGCCGCTATATAAATCCATCGTACTCCTCCAACTTGAAAACTGTGTGCAGTTCTGGTCACCTCATCTCAAAAAATATATATTTTAAAAGGGGAAAAGGTACAGAGAAGGGCAACAAAAATGATTAAGGGTAGGAACAGCTTCTGTATGAGGAGAGATTAAAAAGATTAGGACTTTTCATCTTGGAAAAGAGACGACTAAAGAGAAATATTATAGAGATCTATAAAATCATGAATTATATGTAGAAAGAGAATACGGAAGTGTTATTTACCCTTCACATAACAAGAACCAGGGGTCACCCAATGAAATTAATAGGCATTGGGTTTAAAACAAACAAAAGGAATTACTTCTTCACAGAACACATTGTCAACCTGTGGAACTCCTTGCCAGTGGCTGTTTGTGAAGTCCAAAGCTGAAACTGGGTTCAAAAAAGAATTAGATCAATTCATGGATGGTAGGTCCATCAATGGCTATTAGCCAAGATGGTCAGGGATGCAACTGCCCTCCTGCCCTGCTCCGTGTGTCCCTAATCTGACTGCCTGTTGCTGGGACTGGATGATGGGATTGATTACTTACTGTGTTCTTTTCGTTCCCTTTGAAACAAATCTCTTGGCCACTGTCAGAAGACAGGATACTGGTCTGAGCTGGTATGGCCATTCTTATGTAGGGACCTGACTAGAAGGCCAGAAATTGGATCTCTGATCAAAAACTAGGTAGGTGACAATAATACAAAAAATAGAGTTTGCTGAATCTCTCACTCCAGTACTTACAGAATACCAGAAGAACTTCAGCTGCCATTTAGCAATCAGAATCCAGTAGCCTAGTGTAGATGCCTCAGAAGATGTTTCTTACGGTGTTAGGTCGGGGTCCTTTTCCTGTGGAGGTCAGAGCAGTTTTTTCAAAGATGGGCTAATATGGTAGAAGTGGGAGGAAATGTGGAGGCAAGAATGGTTGTAGTTGGCCCCTCTGCCCCTTTATTATTGCTGATGCAGCTTCTTTTCTGGGCTATCTTTTTGCTGCTGCTCAACTGCAGCAGCGAGGAGAGAGCCCTAGGGGGTTCCCTCTCAGAAGTCAGTCAGCAGGGATCAGGGCTTATTCCTGATACCAAGAAGAAGGGTCCGGGCCTCCCAGATCCCCTTCATTCTCCCCACCCTCAAGCAATTGACTCTTTTGGGGCTGAAGCTGATTTGGTTGCTCACTTTTTTAACAGAGTGAGAGTTGGATAAATGTGAGTCCTGCTGTGCTTAAAAAAAGAGCTTTCAAATGTTTATAAAAATTTAATATTGTGCAAAGTACTGAAATAGTAGCTGATATTGTCCTTCTAAATGTTGTATCTGACTAAATCAACTCATGACAAATGGGTTCTTATTTCTTGTGTTTCTTCAATTTTGAACAGGTTTTGTTAGATTTTTAGAAGGCTACTACATTGTGTTAATAACAAAAAGGAGAAAGATGGCAGATATTGGAGGGCATGCAATATACAAAATAGAAGATACAAATATGATCTACATTCCAAATGACTCTGTACGAGTCACTCATCCTGATGAAGCAAGGTAAATGGTGGTGGTAGACTCTGCTTTTACATAGCTTTTTTAAGCACTGAGGAAATATTGCAAACTAAGGTTCATAGACTCCTATTAATTATATATACCAGAGGGGAGCCATTTGTTGAACATTGAGCTTATTTCTCCAGTACTTTATACTAGCTTTATGCTGAAGTGACATTGGCTTAAATGGAGACAGACTGGTGTAATCAAATGGACAATCATGATGCAAGTTCAACTGAGTCTACCCAGAGGGGAAATGCAGCTGTGTCATGCTCCTTCGTAGCTTCTGCCAACATCTCTAGGTTATTTATATGTCAGAGCTACAACTAAAGAAGTGTGTGTGGCGTGGATGATTGTCAGAAACCATCCACTCCATGTTAGTTCATTCAACGCTAATGCTATTACATGCTGCTTAATATACTAGTTGTCTGAGTAGCATTAGGTCCCCTGTGATCCCCATGTAAACCTCACTGGAAAGGGTCACTTGCACTCCATCAAAAAGGTGGCATGGGTGGGGAGAAGATTAAGTGGCACAATGCCATCAAAGCCAGCTGGAGTGTTGGTGTTTAAGGATGCAGGGCAGGTGCAGACTTGAGGCAGGGAGCATTATGCACTTATCAAGGTTCAGTGAAACTGGCTTCTCATAAACTGAGCTTGTTTTCTGGTGAGTACTCCCATCCCATGATTTTTCATGCAGGAAGGAATGTGGCCCTCTGAGATTAGTAATCATGAATAATTGATAAAATTGAATGATTGATAAAATACTGCAAAATTCAGAATTGTAGGAATAAAGACAGGGAACATCTGATGACAATGAGTAGACTTTTGCATATCTTGATCAGGGTGTTCCTCAAACTGATTATTCAGTGTCTCACTTTATACATGTTGAAGAGAAGTTGCTGTTTCAGAATAATTCCCCCCCCCCTTGTCTGTGTTACTCTATTTAGATATCTACGAATATTTCAAAATGTGGACCTGTCTAGCAATTTTTATTTTAGGTAAGTGTTTAACAATAGTTATTGATTATTATCTCAATTTTTAGGAAATATCTTAAAATCTTGTCTTTAATTTTGTCAGTAGCTTAGCACAGTTTTGTATAGTCGGATTTCAAGTTTTACCTGGAAGTGTCTTGAAATTGATAATGTTAAAGGTGATTAACGGAATGATTTGTTTTAAAACTCTTCATTGTTTGATTGTTTAAATGCACAAATGATTTTTCTTTTCAAATTTAGTTTTGTTTTATGGTGACAGCCTTAAAGACCAAAGCGCTCTCTTTAGCCACAGAAAAGGAACAATATGGTCTGCAAAAGCTTTCCACGCTAACATACTAATATCCCACAACTATTCCATGACTTTGTTTGCATCCAATACAGACTGATAGGCAGACTTTTCCCTTCCCCTTATATAGTAAAACATATGGCAACAAATGAAGAGCCAAGGATTTTCATGCTTTCCAGAGAGAGGGCAGAATTCTTTTCCTCTCACCATCATCTTCACACGAATCAGATGAGAGGGGAGACTCCTATTCAGTTTTTACTTTCCATAGTATTTTTCGTTCTTAATCTTGTTTTTCAGAAATAAAGCTTTTTTTCAGTTTAGGAGTAAAGAAAAGAGAGGTACCATGCGGGGAGGTACTACAGGCCTTGTATCTGGGGGTGTCTGGTTCTTATTAGATCATTCCATATACCCCTTCATTTGACCCACATTTAGTGCTACTTCATTTTGCTGTGTCTAGTCCTAGCTGCTCCTAGATATGAGAGAAATTCTGGAGTAGCAGAAAAGCAGGGAAGAGATAATGGTACAGTCAGCCAGCTGTTTGAGGACTAGAGAAGGGTGTTGCAGAAAACAAAGCAAAGAGGGTGTGTGTATATGATGAGATCTCAGGAGTACAACCTGTAACTGTGGGACTGCTGTGCCCCCTTAATTCTCCAGCCTGGGTTGTCTCTCACAATGCTTTGTCAGTGACAAGCAACAAACCCCTCCAGGCACTGTTATCACTCAGCGGCACATGCAGAGGCACACCCAGCTAAGTTGCATGAATACTCTCATGAACTATACACAGGGAAACACCAGCAGATCTCCCAGTCCCCCAGCCTGGCACCCCATAAGTATACCGTCTTGCGCAGCTTAAGACCTTCTCTTGAACAGTGCAAACTTATTAATTAGTTCACCACCTCATGAAAGGAAAGTGGACATGCACCAATCTTTGTAACCTGAGCAGATTCCCCAAGCAGTTCAGACAAATTCACTAGTTAAGATAAAACATTAAAATAAGTTTGACTACAGAAAGATAGATTTGAAGTGATTATAAGTGGTAAGAATAAAAGATCAAAGATAGTTACCAAAGAAAATAAAAAGTTAGCACGCAGTCTAAATCGTAAATCTTATTACACTAAGCAATATTTGGATCAAGCAGTTTTTCTCACCCCACTGGGTGCTGCAGGGAGGTTACAGTCCTTGATACACACACTTTCCCTTTAAGCCTGGGACCAGTCTCCTCAGTTCAAGTCTGTCTTCCCAGCATTCTTCTTGTAATCAGCATAGGTGGGGGAGGAGAAAGGTAAAAGAATGATGCCACTGTCCCTTATTTTATACCATCAGTCCATGTGCCTGCAAAATACTAGCCCAGACATTTCCTGGTGGGCATTGCTGAGTCAAAGTTGAGCAATGCCCAGTGTGCGATGCTTGCACAACTCTCTTACAGAATTGCAAATCCCTTGTTTACAAGTCCCTGCTGGTCAATGGCTGGTGGTGATCCTTCAACACCCGCCCAGGTGTTGGTCTCCTCCTTTGTTGTTGTCACTGGAGAACCAGCTGTGGGCGACTCCCAAACTCTCAACATATTTCAATAACCATACAGCAAAATCTCATAACTTCATACTCTCATTTTGACGGAACAGTGGGTTTCAGCAGATCATGACCTTTTCTATGATATCTTACATGGCATGCTTTGTATGAAATATCACAACCATCTATGAATGATGAGTATGGGGGTTACAGATTGCTGCTTTGAGGTACAGTGTCAGTGTGTATTTTACATCCTCCCGTCATTTTAAAAAGATTTACGTTAGTTTTTCAGAGCTGAGTTTTTATAAAGGAGAAATATGCCACAGGTTCATGTAATGTGTTTCACAATATGACATGGGAAAGGTTGTTCACAATGTAAAAAACCAAAAAAGCTCTTCTTTTTGACAGTTATGTTCACAATTGCATTATTTGCCAACCCCCACCCTGAAATGCACTCCTCCCTCAATATTTTCATTAATGTCTGAAGGTTATTAGTGTCAGACCATGTTCTTGGTCTCATCCTTTTGTAGCAAAATTGTTCTAGCTTTATGAAAATAGCTATTCTGGTATTGTTACCCTAATCCAAAGCAAAGTGCTGATGGTTCAGAGCAGTGGTTCTCACCCGTGGGCCTCTTACGGCCCAATCAGCACACAGCAGCAGCACCACATAGCTGCAGCCCACTTGACATCTTTAGGGCCATACAGGTAGTATATATATTGTGTGGATGTGACTCAGTTAACACAGAGAGAGCTGCAGATGTGGCCCACAATGGTAAATAGGTTGAGAACCTCTGGTTCAGAATCACTGCAACACATTAGTTTTCTGTGTGTACTGGTAAACTTTGTTGAGAATCTTGACCAGAATGCCTCAATCATTAGAAAGCTAGCGGCTGTAAGGAGAAAATTGGTATAACTTCAGTTCCAACGCACAAGGAGCTGAAGGCAAAGTGGAAGAACACTCCAGGTAGAACGTGTAGAAGAATATCACTAAAATTGCCTATAAAAAAGGCAAAAAGGGAGGTTTGCAGCTATAAGAGCTATCAGGCTGTGCTTTTTGGTGGGGAAAAACAGATACATACGCGAGAGCTGGTTAGCAACACCAACTTCTTGAAATCAGTATGCCAAAGATTAAAACAAAAGTGTATGTTTTAATTCATTCTTTAGTTGTAATTAATTAATAACTAAAACTCACTGGCAGATCTCGGATCCTAAAACCTCCAGTGTCATCTAAAACAGGTAGCGTAGGTTTTTGTTTCAATCCCACTGGTTGTATTTCTGCTTTAGAAGTATTTGCAACTTGGTTTGAAGTCCCTCTCAAAAAGGGAAATCTAGTGGCTTAAAAAATTACTTTGTTCTCCTTAAAATAGGACTATAATTAAATATGGAATGCTTTCACTTTAAGCATCGGATATGGGTCCTGTGACTTTTTAGCATTGTGGGACTGAAAGCTTTTTGCTAATTTCTCAGCAATCACCATCTTGAACTTGGTTGGTAGAACTTATTTCCTACATTTGCTTTTGAAGTGTTAACTTTGTTTTATCTTTAGGAACATAGGAATTGCCATACCTAATCGGAGCAGTAGTCCATCTAATTCAGTCTCATGTTTCCAGCAAAAAGAAAAGGAGTACTTGTGGCACCTTAGAGACTAACAGATTTATTTGAGCATAAGCTTTTGTGAGCTACAGCAAGAAGGTGTGAGTAACAGTAGGGGGGAAAATTAGCATGGGGAAATTATTTTTTTATTTTGTGTAATGACCCATCCAATCCCAGCCTTTACTCAGGCAAACTATTTCCCCATGCTAATTTTCCCCCCTCCTGTTACTCACACCTTCTTGTCAATTGTTTGAAATGAGCTACCCTGATTACCACTACAAAAGTGATTTTTCCTCCTGCTAATAATAGCCCACTTTAATTGAATTGTCTCATTACCTTTGGTAAGGCAACCCCCATCTTTTCATGTACTCTGTATATATATATTCCTACTGTATTTTTCACTCCATGCATCTGATGAAGTGGGTTTTAGCCCACAAAAGCTTATGCCCAAATAAATTTAAGTCTTTAAGGCAGTGGTCTCCAAACTGTTTTGATTGCGCACCTCTATCAGTAAAAAAATTTTTGAGCACGCACCCCCAATATATGTATATTTATTTATGTATAAATTATATACATGTACTACTGTACTAATATATTGTGTAAATTATAAAACATACACAAAAAATAGAAATTAAAAAACGATGAGATAAAGATGAAATAATTTAAAATTTTATTTTATTTATTAAAGGTACAAAAAACCTTTTTGCTCTCACTAAAAAAAATTGCTCTCACTAAAAATATTAATGTGATTGAATATGCTTTATTATTTTTGAAAATCTTGGTTTAACACTTTGTGATACAGCGGGCGCTCAGGGTGGGGTGCGGGGTCTGGAAGGAAGTTAGGGTGTGGGAGAGTGCTCAGGGTGGGGGTGCGGGGTCTGGGAAGGAGTTAGGGTGTGGGAGGGTGCTCAGGGCTGGGGTGCGGGAGGAGGCTCAGGGCTGGGGCAAGCAGGAGGTGCAGAGCACTTACCTGGAGCAGCTCCTGTTGGGTGCAGGGGGTGTGCAGGTGGCTCTGCACAGTGCAGCACCACCCCCATGGCCACAATTCTAGGAGCTGCTCCCCCCGGCAGGCAGGGCCACCTGGAACGCAGGGGCTTTAGGGGTTTCAGGGCCCCGGGCTAAGGGGGGCCCGGGGCCCTGGCCTGCAGCTCTAAAGCCCCTTTTGGAATGCAGCCCTGAGAGCACGGCTGGAGGACTCAGGAGGAGCAGGGGCAGCTGCGCAGCCAGCGGCTGGAGAGAAGTGGTGCTTTCCCCTTCAAAGCTCCGCTTCTCTCCGGGCGGCTTTGAAGGGGAAAGTGCCGCTTCTTTCCGGCCGCTGGCTGCGCGGCTGCCCCTGCTCCTCCATGGGCCGGAGGACTCAGGGCTGCCACCCCTCCCTTTTTTTTCCCTGGCGGTGCTCCTCCTGCCACACCCCCCAATCAGTCATCTTGCGCGCACCCCACTTTGGAGACCACTGCTCTAAGGTGCCATAAGTGCTCCTCGTTGTTTAAACAATTGAGAATAGTGATGCAAAATGTACCTATCCTTAACAATCACATATGAAGGCATTAACTAAGAAACTCAGTACAAATTACAAAGTGATATGATTATTGATGAAAAACTTGCAAATATCATCTTTTCCCTTCTCCTTTTACACTGGCTTCTCTTAATGATAAATATGTGCTACCAAGAGAACCCAGGAAAAAAGTATCTTCCCAAACTAGACTGAATTACTGTATGCTTGAGATATTGCTCAATTCACACAGAGGGTCAGTTGGTCTGGACTTATATACGGGCTCTTCCCCACTCCCCTTGTAGTCTCCCCTCTTCCTTGGATGTTCCTAAATAGCTGTTGATGTTCTCCCAGCACCACTGGAGGCCATTTTTATCTGCAGTCCTCACTCCCTTTATTTTTTAGGTTCCAATCTGTTAGATATCAGCGGGCCTTGGTAGCTTTCTGCTGGTCTTAGTGCTGCAAACTGAAAATTGGCTTACACTGGGACTGTTTGTGAAAGTGCACCTGGTGTCCCTCCAAAGAGTGCTATTGGTATTTTAAAGTTGCAGTGTGAAGACCAGCAGAAGGTTCCATGCTAGGTTCCTAAGAAGTAGAAGGGAAAGGAAAGCAGATCTCCAGGTGCAAGAGTAACTAAAGGAGGAACAAGGAGTGCTGTCCATTTAAAATGGATATTAGTTAAATAGATCAGTCAGGCTCCTTTTTTCATTCCCTAGCCTATATTTCCTTTTTCTGTTTATATCTATTTTTTCCTCTCTGCTCTTCCGCCATAGAGGGAGTAGGGGGAGAAGCAAAGGACAATTCATACACTCCTGCTTCTGTGGCACAACTTTCCCTTCCACCCATCCATGTGCTGTGTGCCAGGACTTGGGGCAAGTGGTTGATCCACAGACTATATTGCTGAACGTATATTATGACTGTCCACTGTATTTTCTGTTCAGGCCAAACCATAATCATGTTCAGTTTTCCACATGTTATTTCACAAATTTGTGGGTACACAGTGTTTGTGGGAGGTTAAATTTATTTGACTGTTTGGAATGGTAGGTCAGGAGGGGTATATGTCTCTCAGAATAGTGGGACTCATGTAGCTGGAACCAAGAGACTCTGGCAAACTGCCTGGCGTCTGTCTCAGTTGTGACTTTAGCCTTCTTGGTAAGGTGGCCATGTGTTGCGGGCCAGCCAGCATCTCTGGCTTGGTAGCCATTCTGACCATGGACTCTTCTATTCAGGACAAAAGTGACTCTTGTCCAGGCTGGGTGGTTGTAGTCACTTTCTGCTAAAGAGCTATGTTCAGTCTCTTTTATTTGTTTACCTTGTTTTTTGTTTAAGTTTCAGCCATTGTGCCATAAACTATTCATTAGATTGTAATGTGTTGTGTGCAGGATTCCCTGTGCAAGCAACCATTCTGTAATTACAGTATGTTTGTCTAGTTTCATTGTCATTTGCTATTTTACGCAAAATAGTCTACACTGGATTAAATAACAATACATGTAGAAAGCAAGAGTTTTCAGAAGTATTCCATGCTCCCATAATTTTTACTAAATTTTAATCTTGGTTTCAGCTACAGCTATGATCTGTCACACTCTCTTCAATATAATCTTACCATCCTGAGAATGCCACTTGAGATATTAAAAACTGAAACAACTCCGACTCGACAGGAGAGCTTTGATATCTTTGAAGATGAGGGACTTACAACACAAGGTGGAAGTGGTAAGTATATTTTAGACATACTGAATTAATACTGATATAGTTAATGACAAATGCAGTTAGAACTATTTTCACTTCAGCCTACCTTGCAGAAACATCCAGCTTTTTTTATTGATCAATGCAGTCTCATAACAGTCCTCAGTTAATAAAAGATTACATAAAGTGCCAATTACAGATATTTGAATATGAGCAATGTAATTTTTAGAGATGATTAATTTATTTTGGTCATTTACATTGTAGCTCAGGGAGATAATTGATCATGCTGACATTTTTCAGCAATTGATTATTCAACTCACCCAATAGATATGAATTTACAAATGAAGCAGTAATCAATTTTCAGGGAAGTATAAATAGTGCTAATAAATTTTGTCTTGTTTAATGTTGGTAAATATTGATAACAAAGAAATTGTATGATATTACCAACTTAAACCATTAGGCTCTACAAGGGACTCTGAACAAAACACACATTAATTTAAACTGCAACCAAAGTCTTCCATTTTGGATCTGACAAATACAGCAGATTTAAAGGGATATTAAAAAAATAAAATTTATCGTTAAAATGTGTGTTCATGTCTGATTTTTTTTTCCTCAGTGCAACCCCCCTCTTCCACGTCCTCCCTCACAGAAAAACTTGAGTTGTTTTATTTTAAGTGGGTTACTTGGTTTCTTCCTCTAATACTTCACATTTTTAGCACAGCATCATCAACAAAGTTGGACTGTAATTTTTTTTTGCTGTATCTGTTTAATGTTGTAGAAATATGCAAAACTACATTGATGAACATACAGTTTATAACATGGGACCTTTCCCATTTTTCTGAAAAAAGTAGAATGTTTTTCAAAGTTAAAGATTTTATATATATATAATATATATAAAAACTTGCTAGACTTTGAAGAGCCAAGCACTTGCTAAAAAGAGACTTTCGTTTACATTGTAGGACACATGGCTGCTGCATCCATGTTCTGGTAGCTGTGAAGCAGCAGTTGAGCTGCTTGCAGAGTTCACAGATCAACATTTCTTTTTTTTATCTACAGTAAATACAGATTTGTATATTTAGAGTTGAAAAGACATTCCCCACTAAATTGTAACCCATTTTTAAGTTAGAATAAATTATATTTGTAGAACAGGCTGGCATTTGTACCTCCTACATTATACAGTGAACACTTCATCTTCTATAACAGGACTACATTGTGCTGAAGTTCCAGAAGACTAGAAGAAAGCTAATGTTGTGCCAATATTTAAAAAGGGTAAACAGGATGACCCAGGTAGTTTAGGCCGGTCAGTCTGACATGAATCCTGGTCAAGATAGTGGACCAGCTGATACGATGCTCTATTAATAAAGAATTAAAGGAGGATAATATAATTAATGCCGATCAATATGCATTTGTGGAAAATAGATCCTGTGAAACTAACTTGGCAACTTTTTTTTTAATGCGATTACAAGTTTGGTTAATGAAAGTATTAATCTTGCTGTAGTATACTTAGGCATCTGTAAGATTTGGAACCATGTGCCATTTTGATAATTTTATATCTTGCTAGATTTTTTTTAACATGGCATACATTAAATGGATTAAATTGTAGGTTTCAAAATGTAATTGTAAACAGGGAATCATCATTGAACAAGTGTGTTTCTAGTGGGGTCCCACAGGACTCTATTCTTGGCCCTACTCTATTTAACATTTTTTATCAATGACCGAAAAGAAAACCCATCATCGTCACTGATAAAGTTTGCAGATGACACAAACATTTGGGTAGTTGTAAAAAATGAAGAGGAAGGGTCACTCATATACACTGATATGGATTTCTTGGTAAGCTGGGCTCAAGCAAACAATATGCGTTTTGATATGGCTGAATGTCAATATATATATGTAGCAACAAAGAATGTAGGCCATGCTTATAGGATGGGGGACTCTGTCATGGGAAGCAGTGATTCTGAGGTTATTGTACTCTGTATTTGGCACTGGTGTGGCTGTTGCTTGAATACTGTGTCCCGTTCTAGTTTCCACAATTCAAGAAGGATGTTGATAAATTGGAGAGGGTTCAGAGAAGAGCTCCAAGAATGATTAAGGGATTAGAAAACATGCCTTGTAGTGTTAAACTCAAGGAGTTCAATCTACTCAGCTTAACAAAGACAAGGTTAAGAGGTGACTTGATCAGTCTGTAAGTACCTACATGGGGAACAAATATCTAATAATGGACTTTTCAGCCTAGCAGAGAAACATATAACCGTACAATGGCTGGAAGTGGAAGCTAGACAAATTCTGAGTGGAAGTAAGATGTAAATTTGTAACTGTGAGTAATTAACCAATGGAACAACATTCCAAGGGTCATGGTGAATTTTCCATCACTGACCATTTTAAAATCAGGACTGGATGTCTTTCTGAACATTACGCTCTCTGGATTATTTTGTGATAATCTAGTTTGACCCGTATAACACAATGATCCCTTCTGGACTTGGAATCTGACTCTGATTGTGAGAAATTCAAAAAAACATGACACGAGAGTCTGATTCAAAAACGCTTTGCATTTAAAAACAAACTAACTACGAAATCTTTAACAGCTATGTTAGAAAAGGGTTAGCAAATTAGGCCCCAATTTAGAAAAGCATATGCTGAAGATTTCTTTAACTACTGTCCTATTTCCAACTTCCCGTTCCTGAGCAATATAACTGAGAAAGTAGTAACCACCAAGCTCCAACAAGTTGTGACATCAATCAACATCCTTTCAGGTTCAGACTAGGGCACAGCATAGACACTGCGCTAGTGGCACTAAATGACAGCTGGCTTGTGGCCAGGTGCTCTGGTGAGATTTCTGTGCTCTGGTGAGATTTCCATGCTCATACTGCTGAACCTCTCTGCAATCTTTTGTACAGAGGGCCACAAGGTACTACTAACTTGCCTACATGACACAGCAGGAGTAGATGGCCCAGCATTACAGAGCTCTCTAGCAGAACTCAGAATGGAAAGAGGTAACTGCTTTTCTTCTCTGAAGGCTCCCACCTGCAGGGTTCCACAGGGAACAGAGTATTCCATCTCTTCGGCATGTATATGAGACTATTGGGAGAGTTGAGACACCATGGGCTTTGCTGCCAACGGTATGCTGATGACATTCAGCTATATATCTCACTCTCAACTAATGCAGCCACAATCCAGCTAAAATGTCAGAATGCCTACGGGAAACTAGTTCTTGGATGAAGAGCAGCTGGCTCAGGTTGAACCCAGGCAAGACTAAAGTGATGGAAAGGGGAAGTGATTTAAAGATGTGACCAAGATATTGTCTTCACTTCCACTGAAAGCATACAGTACCCATTTGTCAGTCATTTGAAACATCCAGGTCCTGTTTGGCTCTTCACTAGACTTGGATGACCAGGTAGCAGTGGCTTCCAAAAATGAGGGTTTCACTTTCAGCTTTCTAGGAAACTTTGTCCTTTTCTCCCAAACAAAGACCTGGCTACAGTAATCCATGCATTTGTCACCACCTGACTGAGTTACTGTAGGTCACTGTATTTGAAGCTGAATGTGAAGATGATGCACAGAATGCAGCTGCCTACCTTCTATATGGCTCAGGCCTCAATGAGCACACGAGATCTGGGCTCAAGTCCCTCCACTGACTCCCAGTGAGCTGCCAATAACAGTTTAAGGTGTTGATCCTAATTTTCAAAGCAATTAATGGATCGAGCCCCAGTTACATTCGGATCAAATTTTGATTTGTGACCCTTTTGACAGCCATGCTCCTCTGGGACAAATGCAGATCGCAAAGCTCAGGACCAAGCAAGGGAGCGCTGGGGCCACAGTCTCCTCTGTCAAGGGGATCTGGCTATGGAACAATCTTCAAAGTATATCAGATGAATCCAGAGTCTGAACATCTTTAGAAAATGTTTATAGCCTTCCTTTCTGGGAATGGCATTCCATCATACATGCACAATTCAAACACCCTTTTTATTCCCAAACCCCTCTTTTCCCGCTTCTCCCCCCCCCCAAAAAAGTCAGTGTTCTGACCTGTTCTAGGGAGAGATGATAGCGGTTCCCATGAAGTCCATTAGGGACTTTCTGTTGCTATTAATTTTACACGGAAAGCATTCATATACTACAATGATGGGTGGCAGTATAAAAATCTTAGCTGCTTAACTTTAAACATGTGCTTAAATCCATCGCTGTTCAGCATAGTCCTTGTCATAAATATAAAGGGAAGGGTAACCACCTTTCTGTATACAGTGCTATAAAATCCCTCCTGGCCAGAGGCAAAACCCTTGCACCTGTAAAGGGTTAAGAAGCTAAGGTAACCTAGCTGGCACTTGACCCAAATGACCAATGAGAGGACAAGATACTTTCAAATCTGGAGTGGGGGGGACAAAGGGTTTTTCTGTCTGTGTGATGGTTTTGCTGGGAACAGATCAGGAAGGCAGCCTCAGAACCTCTGTTAAGTTAGTAAGTAAGCTAGCTAGAAATGCGTTAGATTTCCTTTTGTTCAATAGCTGGTAAAATTAGCTGTGCTGGATGGAATGTATATTCCTGTTTTTGTGTCTTTTCGTAACTTAAGGTTTTGCCTAGAGGGATTCTCTATGTTTTGAATCTGATTACCCTGTAAGGTGTTTACCATCCTGATTTTACAGAGGTGATTCTTTTACCTTTTCTTTAATTAAAATTCTTCTTTTAAGAACCTGATTGATTTTTCATTGTTCTTACGATCCAAGGGTTTGGGTCTGTGTTCACTTGTACAAATTGGTGAGGATTTATTATCAAGCCTTCCCCAGGAAAGGGGTGTAGGGCTTGGGGGGATATTTTGGGGAAAGACGTCTCCAAGTGGGCTCTTTCCCTGTTCTTTGTTTAAAACACTTGGTGGTGGCAGCATAGGGTTCAAGGACAAGGCAAAATTTGTACCTTGGGAAAGTTTTAACCTAAGCTGATAAGAATAAGATTAGGGGGTCTTGCATGCAGGTCCCTACGTCTGTACCCTAGAGTTCAGAGTGGGGAAGGAAGCTTGACAGTCCTGAGGCACATAATTAAGTAATTTATTAGAGCATAAGCTTTCGTGGGCTACAGCCCACTTCATCAGTTTGTATGGCAACTCACAGTTTGTATGGCAACTTCCAACTTATCTGTGTGTGTGTGTGTGTATATATCTTCTTACTGTATGTTCCATTCTATGCATCCGATGAAGTGGACTGTAGCCCACGAAAGCTTATGCTCTAATAAATTTGTTAATATGTACGGTGCCACAAGTACTCATGTTCTTTTTGCGGATACAGACTAACACAGCTGCTACTCTGAAACATAATTAAGTGGTTTCTTGAATTGAGGCCAAGAATACTCAAATTAAAAGCCTCAGTTAGTGTGTTTGAAAATGAAATTATCAAACATAGTTGAGCTTTTTTTTATTATTGATGCATTTTCATTTTAACTTTTTAGGTGTATTTGGGATTTGCAGTGAACCATATAAAAAGTATGTGTGGAATGGTCAACTGCTGGACATAGTAAAAAACACTGTTCATCATGACTGGCTGTTATATGTTATTCATGGATTTTGTGGGCAGTCTAGTATCCTTTTTACTGTAAGAGAACAAATATTGGTTTATTGCATTTAAAAGTTTGTGTATGGACAGCAATTCACAGGACAAAAAATTCATTACTGCATCAGTTCTTATTAAATTCTATTTAAAAGGATTTTCACATGTATTATGACAGTCATTTAATTAGTTTTGCATTATTTTGCCAGATTTTAAAAACATAGGATCTAAAAAAAGATATATAATTGGAAAGATAATGTCCTTACTGTGTCTATAAAAGATGAGAGAAAATTCTTAACCCAAGCACGCATTTTACAGTAAATCACTGTGTGATAATACTATGGAAAAATAAGATTCCAATCTTGCAATCACTTCTATGCAGGCAGAGTGCTGTGCCAGTTTGGAGCTAACTGCAGATTTGAGTCCTAGTAGAGCAACTTGACAAACTCCTTTGGGACCAGGTGGTATTTATCAGGGAGTTCTGAAGGGGGGGGGAGGGGGGAGAACTGTGGTAGAGCTTATTTATTGACATAGAGATGTGCTGATATTATTGCTAAAACACAGGGATTATTTGTATTATTTTAGGATTGGATTTTCAAATCAATGAGACCTAACACTGCTTCAGTCGAAGTCAGTGATAAAACTCTTACCGACTGCAGTGGGACTAGAGTTAAATCTGCATAGAGTGCTTTTAAAAATTCCATTCTAAGGTTTTTTAAAATAAATATATGTCTACTGCAACAATAGTGGAAAATATATCCAAATCTTATCTTTACGCATAAATGATTTAATATAAACCTATACATACGTCAATTACATAAACTGTCCCCTCATCTTAATAGTTAATAAGAATCTAACATACTTTATATGACTTATTTTAATCTATCATCTTTACCATACACCATTAATATACAAGCCCATTCATGGAAAAAAATGAAAGAAGAAAGGGGAATATGACTATGGATTCAGAATTTAGGTATAACCTTTGTACAAAAGATCTTCTGAATTCATTGTATTCTCTTCCATCTCTCCATTCCCTGACTCTTTGTACGAGAGTAATTCTGCATGTGATATCCCATTCTTTGTGCATAAATATTTGTAGCATTGGAGGCCTTAATTTTTAGTAAGTAATTTTGCATAGGTAAAGTTATGCATCATCAAACTCAAATAACACTTTTCTAAAAAATGTGTTTGTGTGTGTGGGGGAGAGGGAGTACAGTGATACTTATCCTTAAATTAGAATAACTAGATTTTTAAATAAATTGCCTTGAGCCTCAGTTATTTCAGATAAATCAAGAAAGAATACATCACTTCATGATTTTTCTTTTTTTCAAACTACCCTTTAATGCAGGGGTTCAGATAATTGGCTATTGTTTAGGGGCACATAGCACAAGGTGGGTGAGGTTGCAAAGGTGGCCTGAAGCTCCCATGTGCATTCCTGTGATTCTGGGGCTGCTGGGTACAGGGCTGCTTCCCAGGCATAAATTAGAACAGTTTCAAGGCTAGTCTAGCTTACAGGAACAGTTACTGGCCTCAGCTGGCCAAAATGACAATCACACATCAGTGCTTTTACAGGGGCATCTTGGCTAGTCTCATTGTGCTGCCAGCAGCAGATATCTGAGTGATATCTTCTTAGCATATGCACAACGTGCCTCGGGTGGCATGTGACCAGGATTCATCCCTGAATTTGGTGCACTGGTTGGATCATTAACTTCCCTGGCCCTGGCCAGGTACTGACTGGGTGTGTGATGTGAATGCTGAACATAGCCTCTGTGTTGGCTTGGTGTCATAGAGTTGATTCTCCCTCCCCACCCTCATCTCAGTGCCTTGTTATACCTGCTTTATGGCCAGAATGTGCTAAAATTGCAGTACAAAGTGGACTCTAGAGGATCTGGCCCTCTGTTTTAATTGCATTAACATTAAAACATTAAAAAGCTGAAGAGCTCCCTACATACATGCTTTTAACACCTACTTGCAGCAGATCTTCTTGATCACTAAAATGTTACCAAATGTAGTTCCAATCTTCAAGAATAGGTGAATGAAGGACAAATCTGACAATTAATTGTGTGTCTCACCTCAGTATGTAAGCAATCAAAGATGATTAAGGGTAGATTAATTCAATACCTGGCAAAGTATAAACTGAGGTCAAATCACCACTGCTTTTGTAGTATGTTTCAGTGGCTTTTATCTAGTCTGATTGCAAGTGAACTGCCTTTCCAGAAAAATCATTGGAGGATAACCTATATATCTGATTTGGAAATAGAACTCAGAAGTTCCTAATCCCAGAGTTGACATTGACTCCTCCTGGGGCCTTAGATAAAACTTGTAACAGCTCTGCCTCATTGTTCCTTCTGTAAAATGGAAATAATATTTATCTTCCTAAGGTTGTGAAGATTAGTTGATTTATTGTAAAGAGCTTTGAAATGAAAAGCACTATACAAATGATTGATTGGAAAGGGAATTAATGTCTCTCCCACTCATTAAAGAAATCTGAAAAAGTAAAAAGGAATTATGTTCATCTGTATTGCTAGAGGTCTTATGAAATAATATTAAAATAGGGTTTTCATTCAGAAAAAAGCACAATAAAATACATTTTCTTTGGAGTTTTTTGTTTTTTTTAACATTGATCAGGACTAAAGTAAATGAAAGGAAAATAGCTTTGGGAATCATAAAATGTGTGAACCTTAACCGTACTTCCAAGAACTGTTAATCTATGGTCGTCCAGTGTATGTCACTCTGATAGCCAGAAGATCAAGCAAATTTGCTGGAACACGTTTTCTAAAGAGAGGAGCAAACTCTGAGGTAAAGTAAATCTCTCTCAACTTTCATTTTGTACTGTACTACATGAAGGTCTTAATCTACTTCCTTAACAGAGACCGGGGTTGTGTCCTTAAGGTTTTGGTAGCTTATTCTTCATTTTACAGTTATCACATCCATAGTGAAAATGTCAAGGGGAAAAAATGTAAATTTTATTATTTTATAATAGTTAAATTAAACATAAGAAATGAAAGCCAGGAGAAGAAAAGTTTCTGTTGTAGCACTTTAGTGAATATAGTGAGGTATTTACCTGCAAGGTAGAAAAGAAAATTCTGATGAGTTGGAAGATATAACAGCAGCAAATGGGATTTAATTTGCTGTAGAGAATTCACACTGTAGTTATTCATAACTTATCACTGCAGATATGTTGAAATTTTATATAGTTACTCATAGTTCTTTCATGTTTATGGTGGTGCACATTTTCTTTGCACTGCATGTAATAGTTCTTGAAATCTGGTCGATAGAGAAAAAGCCTAATATACAGACCCATATTTAGGGCCCAACACTGCAGTGACATGATGTAGACCAGGGGTGGCCAACCTGTGGCTCCAGAGCCACGTGCGACTCTTCAGAAGTTAATATGCGGCTTCTTTTTATTGGCACCAGGGCTGGAGCTACAGGCGTCAACTTTCCAATGTGCCAGGGGTGCTCACTGTTCAACCCCTGGCTCTGCCACAGGCCCTCCCCCCACTCCACCCCTTCCCGCCCCCTCCCCTGAGCCTGCTGTGCCCTCGCTCCTCCCCCTCCCTGCCTCCCAAGCCTCCTGCACACCATGAAACAACTGATCGGGAGGTGCGCGGAAGGAGGGGGAAGGTTGATCGCGTGAGTGGGAGGTGCAGGTGGCGGGAGAGCTGATGGAGGGGCTGCTGACGTATTACTGTGGCTCTTTGGCAATGTGCATTGGTAAATTCTGGCTCCTTCTCAGACTCAGGTTGGCCACTCCTGTTGTAGACCTTTATGCTCCCTTCCGGTATCACTGACATCCTCTAGGCTATGTACAGACATTTGGGTCTATGTTAGTACATCATATCGAAGTATTGGGGCCAGAGGTAGGGAGACAACCAACTTTTTCATGAATCTGATGATCAGTTATCCAAAGCCTGCCTGACCTCAATGCTACTAACAATATATGTTTTGCTTGCATCAAACCAAGTTGCAATCAATCAGACCTCTTCAGGACTAATGCCTCTTTAGCTCCATAATCAGGCAGCAAGCAGATCAACATTTTGGTCATCTGTGATTCTTGGACACATTTAGAACAACTTTTTGCACTAACCCTAGCCTCTGTTTTATGTTAAATATTTTATAGCTGGATTTAAAAAGGGCTGGACAATTTTGTGACCATAGTAATGTGTAGCTTTGCATGCTGATGCAAGAGTAATGAAAAGGTGGGAGTTACATCAGCCATGCTAAACCCACAGAAAAAACGCAGAAATTGGCTTGTTTTTGGCTTAATTGGCTTGTGAAGTTGCTTGTTGGCTAGTTTTTGGCTTGTAGTTTGTTGCTTGTTTGGCTTGTTGCTTTTTTTTATCAGCTCCCGGCAAGTAGGGGCAAGTGGGGGGGGGGGAGCGTTGGGGTGCACAGTGGGCTCACCACAGTCCCAGGCTGCACGCTGGGGGATCTAGTCACAGAGTGTTGGGGTTGTTAGGGATTGGCTTGTTTTGGCCTTGTTTTGAAATGGGATTAGCTTGTTTTTTGTCTTATTGTGAAAGTCGGGTGCTTATTTACCGTGTGAAAGTTGGCAACTGTGAGTTACATGACCAATACAGTTCCCTGCCTTGGAATTCTTGTGCTCTTATGATTTGACATCCCTTATTTTTAGTTTTGATTAGTCCTGTCATTCAATTATTATTTCAATATCTATGTATGCAGCTCTGAAATGTAATATATCTACAGTATTTGCATTTTTTGTTTGTTTGTTTCAGGGAGATGTTGCTAATGAAGTAGAAACTGAACAAATACTTTGTGATGCTTCGGTGATGTCATTTTCTGCAGGGAGTTATTCATCTTACGTTCAAGTTCGAGGCTCAGTCCCTCTATATTGGTCTCAAGATATTTCGACTATGATGCCTAAGCCACCAATTACATGTATGTTCAATATATTCTTTATGATAGCCTATGGTAAGCAATGTGTTTTCCTAAAAGAACATGCCAGAGAGAGAATAGGTGAAGGTTAATCTTGTAAAAACTAAAAAAAATTGTATGTTTGTTTCTTCATTGTGAAGCTACAATTAAAGGTTGATCAGCACTGTTTTATAAACATCGTGGTTTATGAAAGTGTTCATTAGCTAGCCACAAAAATTAATTCCAGATTGAAATTAGACCCGAGGAATGGTGACTTTTTAATGTTAGACATTGTGTCCACAGTGGCCCTTTATTGCCCTAATGTGGCAATGCTTGTGGTTGAAGACTGCAGCCTTCTTTGTGCTCATGATTTTGTACCCAAATAGTTATTTATCAGTTTGTCTCCCATGGGAGGACATTTTGGATGACATTCTGGCTCTGTTAACCAATTGAAAAATTCCCCTTAACTCTCATGGGGCCAGGATGTATTTGCCCTTTGGCTTCGGTGGGACTACTCACATGCTCAGAGTTTATCACATTCATATGTGCTTCACTGGACTGGGCTTGAGTTTGCTAGTCAGTAACTTTCCCCGCCCTTTGTATCACTGGCTAGCTTGCACAAGTGCTGCCCCAGTGAGTATCTCTAAGTGAAAAACACCTCTGGATCCAGTGCACTGGTCATGTGTAGAACAGAAGTGGAATGGATGTGAAAGTGGTAAAAGAACAGGTAAGTAATAGTTTCTTTCTAGCTATCTAATTTTTGACAAACTAAAAAAAAAATAAAAATGTAAAGGGAAAATCTTTGCTTTTACCTTGTTGTTTCTTTAATGATCGAGAGGTGTGAATTTTATTGCTGCTATTAAAAAAATAAGTAAATCTGCTATAAAAAAATGCATTCATAGGAAAGTAACCTTTCAGGATCTGAAAATCTTTGTTTTTTTTCCCCAAATATATTTATTTACTTTGTTCTAGTGGACCAAGCAGATCCATTTGCGCACATAGCTGCACTTCACTTTGATCAAATGCTTCAGAGGTTTGGCTCTCCCATTATCATTTTGAATCTTGTGAAGGTACAGTATTGTTTAGTCATAACTTGATGTGTGGTACAAATAAATCAATAAACTTGTGGTTTGGTAAAAATAATTTTAATTATACTAAGTTTTTGCATTTAAAGGCAGATTATAGACTCATTAAAGCCTATGAGAGTGTTGCTGCTTAAATTTGGTTCTGAAAGCTGTGCCTTGCACTAATTATAAATTTAATACTGGCATCTAATAGAAAATGCACATTTTCAGATTAATAAATAACAAGAAAAACAATAACAAGAAAAAAAAAACAAGAAATTCCTCTTTTGCTGTTTTCACTCCCATCTATCATTAAGCCGGTTTCAATGTATCAGATGTCCTTCTAACAAAGAAGAGTTGGATATGGCTCCCAGTGGAGCTTTTCCATGCAATTTTGAAACAGCCAGAAGGATTACAGTTTATATTGAAATATGAGGATCCATTTTAATTGGGTCTGAATGCGCTAGTTCCATCTCACAATGAGCTAATACCAGCCTACAAATGGAGGACCTTTTTCACAAACCTGTTCCCTTACCCAGATGTATCTTGCATTATAATTAGACTGTCAGTAGAGTTCTCCAGAAATAAACTATCCTTAATGTTTATACACTTCTTGCAATACATACTTCATCTTTTCTTTCAGGCTATTGGTATCACCCCACCTTGAGCAGCAATATTTGAACCATGGGTTTAAAATATGTCCAGACAGTAATACCAGTATGAAGCCTAAGGTCAAACTGGAAATCTGTGGTAGAGCCAGGAACTGAATCTAGATATTCTGATTCCAGTCCCCAGTGCTTTAACCAAAAGGCCATCTTTCTTGTTCCTGCTTCACTCTATTTACCACCAAAGTATGCTGCAGTACCATCATATGACTGCAAGAAGTGTTGGTGATAAACTTCCAAACTAAAACTACTGTACCCCATGCAAAACAGTAAATTCTCCTTTGTCTGTCAATGTCTAATGCATATCTTAAGTATTTGACGGACAGGCTGGAGGATGATGGAATAAATATAAATATTACTTCTAGCCTTTTCAAAGAGAGTAACTTAGATATGTATTAAGTGTGGAATAATTTTCAGATGCTAATAATAAAGTCTTGAAAATATAGGGATCTGTTTGACAGAGAGAGCATATGACAGACAATATCTGTTGAGCAGTATTTGAATCCAATACCTTCGTAAGCCAGCCACTTCATTGAAAAGACCAAACAGACCTTGATTAGCATCCAGGAGGCCCAACTTATTCTGAGAATGAGAAACACTGTAAATACATATATCCCACACAGGGACCAATTTGTTTCCTCCTATTTTTGGAGAAAGAAGATAAGTGATGGCAATAAGAATCCAATCATACTAAGAAGTTGCATGCAAAGAACGTTACTCACACTGGTAGATGATTACTGGATTGTGTCTTTAAACAAATGAGCTGAACTTTTGAATAATTCAAACCAAAACTGCAGTATATCTATGCAAAATATAATGAAAAAGTGAAATTTTAATGTATGTTTTGCCTCTTAACAAAAAATTCAGTGCAGAAAAGGAGGAATTTCATCTTAATGTTTTTGTTACTAACTACTTAATAACTTTTGTGACAATATGGACAATGGGGTAAAATATATACATTTTAAAGAAAATAAATACAATTGTAATAACAATAAAATGATGTAATAGACCTAATTAATTCTACAATGCCTATGGAGAAAGGAAACGTAGAAAAGAAATAGTTGCAGAAGAGGTATATGGCTATTGCTGATATATTTTAATTTATTTTTTATTTGGCTAATACATTCTTACAGTACTTGATATAAGAACCATCATATGTCATTTCAGTTTGTTCTTTATTAGTTTGTAGTATACTTTACTACTGTCTCATAGGAATCTTTCATTTAATTATATCTGATTTCATATTCTCTTAATCTTCTTCATTGATATTTTACCATTATAGTGTGTTGTAGAGATATGTTTAGTTTAGAAAGGACGCCTTATGTGCATGCAATGCAAGTCTCTAATTAAAAAAACTGAAAAAATTCAAAAGGCTGATTTTGGGAATCTGTAAGCTGAAGTAGTAAATAGGAAAGTCCCATTATTTTTTATTTCTTAAAGCTCTCATTTGAGTGTGCTTTTAAGAATCAGCACATGAAGCTGTGGTAAACAACTTGATGTGCTTTGTTGACAAGAAAATGATTCTCTTATTTATAGATTTAGTTTTCAAAAGCCAGCACTAAAATGTGAATCCAGATCCACATGACCCTGACATGTGAATTATGTGCTTTTATTCACAAGGCTTTTGTAGTGTGGCTGAAAATGTGTCTCTGTAGGTGCTCAATGCTAGATTGCTAAAATTAATGCTCTTCTACTACTTCTGTGCAGTGGGGAAAATTGAATTTTCCTGTGCATGTGTTGATCCAACTTCAGCACAATCACTGAGCATTTTTACCTCAGGTACTCTTACTCTTCGGAGAATTCTTAAAGGTCAGTGAGTTTATAAATGTCTTCTGCTCTTCTGTGCAATGTGGAAGGTGGCAGTAATTAGTAACAAATTGTATGTGCTCTTGCTGGGATTTGTTTATATAATTACACACACATAATTTTATGTGAAAAGAACATTATTAAGCTTGCAAAGCCAAGGACTCAAAGTTAAGAGATGCCAGAATTAAGGTTGCCTGTACTTGTCCATCCTGCAATGGGCCAATCCCACTAAGATAGAAGATATATGTTCTATTTCAGAAAGTCTCACATCACTAACAGGTTCTCAGTTTGCCTTTTCTTCTCTGCAAAAACCCACAAGTCAAAAAATACAATGCTGAATATTCATCTTCTGGATCCAGTGCCACTCAGATTGCTCCAGAAGACCCGAGCTCCAAGACCCATCTAACAGTCAAGTCTATATCGTCCAGTGCTCCATCTAGCACACAGGCAGTTCTGATGATCTCTGCAGAGAAAATAGCACCGAAGGCACTCCTGGCTTCAATGTCGACATTGGCGCCATGGATGGTGGCACGGTGCCGAAGTCATTGGCAGCCCCAACTTTGAATTTGGTGCTTCAGATGTAAAAGCAGGGTGCTGAATGGGCTCACCCCAAACACCGATGAAGGATCTCCGTCCTCCATGGAATACAAAAAAAAAAAAAAAAGCGAGGGGGTGGGGGGGGACCTGAGGCCAAACAACACTTCTTACTGCCTAATGACTTCTCCTTCTAGTCCCTAGACAAGGCAGTAGCCTCAGTACCTATACCACTGGATGATTTCAAAACCTTTCAAGAACTCCTGGTGCAGCTCACAGATGCCCTGGACATTGTGACTTTGGTCATTTCCCAGAAGTCTCATGAGCTGCTTATTATATTGTTGACCACTGATCTCACCAGCATTGCCCTCCACATGAATGAAAGCCTCCTAGGGCTGGCAAGAGCCTTTTGGCAAATGCCAACAACTTATAACACCATCAGTGAAACATGTAGAAAAATAGTACAGGTATCCTCCCCACACCTGGGATCTGAGTACTTTTATACCCACCAGGACACATCTAAGGACAAAGATCCCAGATGCTTAGATATTTTTGGAACAAGACCAACTGCCAAATATGACTTTTTAACAATGGACAGGGCAACCTCTTTCCAGGCCGGGCTGCCTTACAAGAGACAGGAGCTGAAAAACACTACAGAAGAAGGCCAACTGGTGGCCAAGATGGCCCTGCAAGCAGCAATGGTTACCTGTGACACTCCATCCAGGTCTGTGTCTACCTGCATGTGATCATGCAGAGAGTTTTGTAGCTCCAAGCCTCATGTATCCCTCACAAGGTACAAGCCATGAATGATGGCTTGCTCATTGAGGGCTCAGAGCTGTTCATCGAACTAACTGATAACACCCTACATTTACTGAAAGATTCCAAAGTGACACTGTGCTTGCTTGGGACCTACACTTCCCCATCCTCAACCACAAAGCCCTCAGCCATTGCACCAGCAGAGACCACGTTCCCTATCTTACCACAGACAAATGTAGTACCCTGACAGAAATGTTTGAGGTAGAGCAACGGGAGTCTGCTCTCCTCAAGTTTGGCCCCGCATTCTACAGTGGTAGCCTGCTGGAGATCGTAGCCTGGGGCTACCCCATCACCATCCCTCTTCAGTGATCCTGGTCATGAGAGCCTGTTACAAATAGAATTGGCCTCATTCCATCACATGACATCATGTTAATACCCACATAGTTCATCAGCAGCGTTGAAACCTTTAGATCCACTCTTAGGTCTGCCATTTTCAGCTTACAGAGTAACTGACAGCAGTAGTAGATTATTAGCCTCTTTATGGACCAGCACTAGAGGGAGATGGGACACTTTGCCAGCAGGTTTTGGAGATATTTGCTGACAGCAGAAGCTGTAAAACTCAAGAATCTCTTCTTCCATTCCAGGCCTGAGGGAAGTGTGCTCTAGGGCAGCAGTTCTCAATCTATTTCTTTCCGAGTCCCCCTCTAACATGCTACAAAAACTCCATGGCCCAGCTGTGCCACAACTGTTTTTTTGCATATAAAAGCCAGGGCCAGCGTTAAGTGGTAGCAAGCAGGGCAATTGCAGGAGCCCCATGCCACAGGTGGCACGGTGAAGCTAAGTTGCTCAGGCTTCGGCTTCGGCCCTGATGGTCAGCCTTGGGGCCCTGGGCTGCAGTCCTGCACGGTGTGGCTTTGACTTTCTGCCCTGGGCCCTAGGAAGTCTAATGCTGGCCATGCTTGGCAGACCCTCTAAAACCTGCTCTTGGCCCCCCAGGGGCCTCAGGCCCCTCGTTGAAAACCACTGCTCTAAGGGGCATAGACTCTACTGCCCATTTCCCCCAAGCTGACCCTTTCTATGCCGTCCTCTCCAACCTGTCCCAGTCCTATCTACCCCAACTCTGACTCCTCCCAGTCCTATAGTCCCATTCTCCTCACCCACTCAATCCCAGTTTCCATTCCGCAGGCCTCACCCCTTCAGACTCCAGAATCAGTCTCCCACTGCTACTCCTCAGTTTCCTTGTCCAGGCTCTCTGTTCTCTCCCCAAATCTCTGATTTGCTGGTCTCTCTCCTCCTTGGCTGTCACCCCCACCGAATCCCAATCCCATCCAATCTGTGTCCTCATCTCCCCTGACCTCCTGTCACAGTCTCTATGCCCAGCTAGTCCCAGTTCTCCCCCGCTCCGCCCTAGCTCTGTCAGATGTCTCCCTCTCCACCCGAGCCCTCTGGTTCCTAAACTTAGTCTTCTTGCCCATCCAGTCCCAGTTTACACCCTCTTGGTGGCCTCTAGCCCCAGTCTCCATCCCTTTTCCCAATCTACTTACCAAGTCCTCCTTCTATCCTGAGTCTTGTCCCCTTTGTATTTGAATCAGATGACTTCCTCTTTCATACTGCCAAGGTGCTAGCAGGTGGGGGGAAGGGAGGTTTGCTTATAGAGACCACAAGAAGAGAGAGACTTTCTTACTCAGTTCTGGTACCTGGCCCCATCCCAGCCTGCAGCAGCCATTATAGCAAAAGTCGTCTTCGCTCCTTTAGCTCTGGGATGGAGCATGCTCACTGCTCTGTGGAACAAATGTATGCAAAGTCTGGACAGCAGTAGGAACTGGGAGAAGATGCAGCATGGTCAGTAAGGATGGATTCTTTAGAGTTTTAAGCTATTAAACTCTAGCAAGTCTCTGAGTATGTGAAAACTGATTTTTTTTTTCCCAGAGGCTTATAACTTGGCCAAATTTGGGCAGATTTTCAAAAGGCTCGTTTCTGACACCAAGGGTACTCACTGTCATATTTCAAGCCTCTGCTCCAAAGCATGGTGGTGCTAGAGAACTTTCCAAAGAAAAGGCCACCAGAATTTTTTTAATGTGGAATAACTTATTTTCTTCTAATCTTGTTGGAAATCATTAAACCGTTTTGGTTGAACCTTTATAATAAAAAAAAAAAAAATATATCAGCCTGACACAGGCACCTAGCATGGAAAATTTCAGCCTGAACGATTAAAATTCTACTCCTGGGGGAATTTTGCACCACTGTGCAATGCAGCATTTGTGCAGAATTTAATGTTTTCCTCCCACAGATTTGGGACTGCAGAGCTGCTGGTGGCCATTAGGGGCCACTGGGCTCTTCAGAGCCCAGCTTCCTAGCTCTCATTGAGCAGAGCACCCAGCCTGGTGGGGATCAAGGCTCTGCACGCTCTGGCTGCCTGGTTTGATCCTCATTCACCTAGGGAAGGGAGGGGCCCATGAGACCCAGCTTTGGCAAAGGGTGATGCAATTTAAGCCCATTGCTTCTTGTCCTATCTTCAGAGGTTAAGGAGAACAATTTTTCTCCCTCTTCCTTGTAACAACCTTTTATGTACTCGAAAACTGTTATGTCCCCTCTGTCTTCTCTTTTCCAGACTAAACAAAGACATTTTTTTTCAATCTTCCCTCATAGGTCATGTTTTCTAGATCTTTAAACATTTTTGTTGCTCTTCTCTGGACTTTCTCCAGTTGGTCCACATCTTTCCTGAAATGTGGCACCCAAAACTGGACACAGTACTCCAGCTGAGGCCTAATCAGTGTGGAGTAGAGCGGAAGAATTCCTTCTCATGTCTTGCTTACAACACTTCAGCTAATACATCCCAGAATGATGTTTGCTTTTTTTGCAACAGTGTTACACTGTTGACTCATATTTAGCCTGTGAGCCCCTATGACCCCCAGATCCCTTTCTGCAGTACTCCTTCCTAGGTTGTCATTTCCCATTTTGTATGTGTGCAACTGATTGTTTCTTTCTGTGTGGAGTACTTTGCATTTGTCCTTATTGAATTTCATCCTATTTACTTCAGACCATTTCTCACTTCTCCCATCTTTCTTTCCTCTCCCTCCCCCCACTCTTCACTTATTTCCCTATTCCTTAGAAGATTATGCTGCCCACCTCAGTAGTAGCTATTGATAGCTATGTTCCCTGTAGGTTCTATACATAGCATCTTGTAGTTCTAAGTAACAATCATACTTATTAAAATGTACAGCTTTTTTCTGTCTGTCTGGTTTTTAAATCTGATCTAGTTATATAATAGCGGACATCAGTAGTGCCTATTACTGTTAAGAGCTGCAAAACAGCTTCCACTTTTAGTCACTATTGACAGAATGAGAACATTCTGAAAATTCACCTTTTGGGGTAAAACTTCCTATGCTTAGTCTCTGATCATAAATAATTTTTGGAATGTTGTAGGAAAATTCCTCCATAAATGTTTGACTCAAGAGCGTACAAAGAGTGAGAACACTTTCCCTCTTTAAAATAATAGTAATAATTCTTACCATGCTTTTTGAGCAATGTTACAGCAAAAATGGCTTATGGTAGAAACTTGTCATGAAAGTAGTCATCATTAAGTTACTGTTTGATTTGAAAAATATTACTTTTGGTTTAAAAAGATAGAAGTAATTTTTAAATAGTTGTATGTGCACAATAGAAAATGTCCTTTAGTGTAGAGTAAAATAAAGATACACTGCACAATGTGTAACAAGTTAAATGTTAATTTTTTAATTTGAGAAAACAACAAGAACACTATACCTAGGGTCAGCAAAGTGTATCAGTTTTCTTGTCTAAACCGCTCTGGAGTCAGAGTTATGAGATCTGCTGGTGGAGCTTGTAAGTTCTAGAACTGAATTAGCTTCATTTTCCTCCCCTTTTCCTCCTTTCTATCCTTTTTATTTCCTCTTAAAAAGTTATGTAGGAAATTGAATGAAACAGCTCTGTTAATGCAACCTTAGGATTCCATACTTAAAAATCTCAAAAAAAAATCTGATATCAAAATGTTCAGATTCCAGCTCTGTTGTTAACTTTTTATTGCCAGGGTGGATAAATTTTTAAAAAATTTATTTTAAGAAACCCTGTTTATAATTAAACTTGAAATTGATAGCCTATGTTAAGGCCTAGGCTTGCTATAATTGGTTAAAATTTAATTTAAAAAAAATTAAACAGTACATTTTGGGGGGAGGGATAGCTCAGTGGTTTGAGCATTGGCCTGCTAAACCCAGGGTTGTGAGTTCAATCCTTGAGGGGGCCATTTAGGGATTGGGGCAAAAATTGGGGATTGGTCCTGCTTTGAGCAGGGGGTTGGACTAGATGACCTCCTGAGGTCCCTTCCAACCCTGATATTATATGATTGTATGATTCTACATGTTTGCTGCCAGACTTTAAAGGAAAGCCACCACTGAACAGTGAAAGTCACTGTGTGAGCACCTGGAACCAGACTTTGTTGAACTGCCTAAACCAGCTTTTAACATCAGGAGCCTTTTCCGCGGGTACAGAGAGAATATTTTCTTCATTTCAGTTTATTCAGCTAGTTCAGTTCAGTGGCTCATTCAGTTGAAGTCAAACCAACTGGGAGTTGAAAAATCAGGAAAGTTTGTTTTCTCCTTCCAATCTTTAGATAAAAAGCAGGTGTGAGAGAATGAGCTCTACTACTTCTAAAGTTTTGAAGAGCATGGTGACCAGAAACAATCAGTTCAATTCACTAACTGAACATACTACTTTCTTTGTTTAATAATTCAGTTAGTTTTAAAATGCAAAACATGTTTTGATAATTTTTTATATATCCAGCTCAGAAGGTAGTTTTATTTAACTAATAAAAAAATAAAATGCTGTTTTGTGGATTTTAATTGAATTTTAATTTCTATCCAACCAGAGCTTGACACAAATCACAAGTAACAAATTAATCCAATAAATAAGAAAGGCATCTTTCACTATTTTCTAATATAATGAAAATGTAAAAATTAAGAGTCTAAATAAATGTTAGTTAAACTATGTAATTGCTTAAACAAATGTGTGTGTGTGTATATATATAGTATATCCTCCTGGTTAGCTAAAAGAAGCACCAAATTTAGTGTAAAGGCTATATTTAGTTACAAATCAATATGCTTTAATGGTTACCAACCCAAAGAGAATCAATCTTACTTCCAAAAAACAACTAAAAAGTGCAAATATGAAACAAGTTTAAAAACAACGATTTAAACAGAGGTTTCCTGCTTGCTGATTTCAATAATAACAAAATTCAGTGGTTTAAATAAATCTACCCATTTTTTGCACATATATAGTATGGCTATTCTTTCTTTTCTGGATAAATATATTTCATAATATAATTCTGTTTATCATAGATTATAAAGCCTAACATACTACTTAGAACGTTATTGAATTTCCCATTTGTTCATTTTTAACTGTATGCCTTCATGTTTCATAAACACTCCCCTGTCCTCGCCCCCCTTTTCTTATGCATGCTGCTTGTTCTTCCTGTTTTACACCTATAAAATAAATACTAAAATCAGGGATAGGGGGTGGGTGGGTGGGTGGCTGTGTGTGTGGGTGTGAGAGAGAGAGAGAGATTGGATACAAATATTTTAAAATTTAGACCTGTTAGCTCAAAAATGTTAATGCTAATTTTTTCTGGCTTTGATTAAGGAACGTGAAAAAAGAAAGCATGAAAGGATTCTGAGTGAAGAACTTGTTGGTGCTGTGACATATCTCAATCAATTTTTACCCCCAGAACATGCTATTGTGTATATTCCTTGGGATATGGCCAAATACACAAAAAGGTGAGCAAATTCTTTCCCTGTATGGATGTCATCATAGTTCATAAGTGATCAGTGACAGTGATAAATGTTTTTTAAATTTCTTTGCTATATCCTGCCAGGGTGAGGGTGGCTTTAGCAGCTCAGAAAAATTTTAGGGTGTGAGGAGGATGGAATTTCTGTTTCATGAAAGATTTTGAGATTTCAAAATTTGGTTTGTTCCAAATGGGAGTGAAAACCAAGAATTTGAAATTCTCCAAAGGAAAATTTTCAGAAAAAAAGCCTTATTACAGGTCAATTGAAATGTTTTAACAAAATCATTTTGTTTTCATTTGTATTATAATGCAAAATTCAATTTTGAAACCATTATTTCAAGGCAAAAGAAAATCAAAACGTACCATTCCAAAAATGTGGGAGTAGGATATTTTGACATTTTCAGAACTTTTTTCTAGTTTTCTTCCAAAAAGGTATTCAGGTGAAATCAATCTGATTTCACAAAGCTTATTGATTTCAACAGAACTCCTCATTCTGACACAATATAGCTCCGCCTAAGTTTCTCTAAGCACCCCTATTTTATCGTCATGTATTTTTATCACTCAGATGATTCGCACCTCTCCAGGCCTTTTGACACATGCCATTTTTGTCTTCCACAAGTATCTTTATCTGTAGTTAGCTGTTTCAGCCTAATTTTGAAAATACCGTGTTTTTCTTCACAGCCTTTGTGCATTCCCATTTGTGGAATATGGCACCTGCAAGGTGAGCCTGTGGCATTTCCTTGAAAAGCCATGTTATTTGGGAGGTTCATGAGTGATCTAGGATGAGGGTGACATCATTGCCCTACACTATGTAAGGCATCACATCCTCCAACTGCATCAGTTCCTTTGCTGCAGAGAGCTAACTGAACCTTGCTTTTATGTCTTCAGGCTAGATTGTTATAGTCTAATTCTTTTTATCCTTCAGTAATTAACAATTTTTAGTTAGTGTGGTATGGGTTATTGTAGCCTAGATATCTACCTTGGGTAGTCCCATGAGTCCTGTAGGAGCTTCAAGAAATGTGTCATATCCATGTCAGATGCCTCATATGCCAGGGTTGGGGGAGAGACTGTGAATCCCGGTGTGTGGTTAGTCATGTCTTCACTTTCCACACAAGCAAGGAGACACATTTGAGGCTTCAGACTTGCCGTCTCAAAAGCCCACATATATCTACTCCAGCTGCTTAGTTGAATATAGAGGAAACTCCTGAAGGCCAGAAGAATGCTAATGTTGTGTCAATATTCAAAAAGGGGAAGTGTGATGACCTGAGTAACTATAGGCCAGTTAGCCTGACATCAGTCCCAGGCAAAATAAGGGGAAAAAGTCTATACGTGATTCAATTGATAGAGTTAAGATAGGAATAGAATTAATATAATATAACCGCTACCCATGGTTTTTATTAAAAATAAATCTTGTCAAACAAACCAGATTTCATTCTTTGAGATTAAGGTTTGGTTGCTAAAGATAACTACAATACTTATACTTTTGGAAAGCATTTGTAGTACCACTACACGACATTCTGATTTTAAAAAATTGGCAGTCTATAGAGTATTAATAAAGCACATGTTAAATAGATTATGAACTGGATGACTGATAGATAGATATCCAGAAGTTGTTGTCAATGAGGATTCATCATTGACCAGGGGCATTTCCAATGGGGTTTTGCAGTGATTGGTACTGGGCCTGAAGGTATTCAACATTTTCATCAATGAGCTGGAAGTAATCATAAAATCACTGCTAATAAAATGTAGATGATGCAAAGATTGGTAGAATGGTAAATGTTAATCATTTACCATTCTACCAGTGTCCCTTTTTAATTATGTAAAGTGAGCAAAACTGGCATGAAAACATTGCTATTAACATAATGTCTGGTCAGTGGATATGGAGATGGGTATGAACTGCAAGTTTTCTTGCAAAGAAAATCATTGACAGGAGACTTTCCAACCAGTGAAAATTAAAGAAGAGTATTCAATATTTCTTTTTTCTCCCCGTAGCAAACTGTGTAATGTCCTGGATAGATTGAATGTAATTGCGGAAAGTGTAGTGAAGAAAACAGGATTCTTTGTAAATCGTCCTGATTCCTACTGCAGCATCTTGCGGCCAGATGAGAAGTATGTATGAGAACAAGAAAAGTAAAAGGGGTAGGATGAGTTTGTGTGTGGGGATGTGAACACATAAATATCTGGATATCTATATACACACATGCACTACTTATACACATGAAGTACTCCTAAATCCCTGCAGTATGTATTCTAACATGGCTTTTTAAGGATTGCAGTAATGTGAAAATTATAATTTAATGTCCAGTTAGAGTGAAAAAGACTGCAACCAAAGGGGCACGGTCTATAATTATCCGCACATTGAATAAGTGTAAAATATGCTGCTAATTATGCTACTTGTATCTTCAGGGTAAATGTGTACTTGTGAAATTTGGTGTAGTTGGTGGTTCTTGCTACAATAAACACTTTACAAATTAAGTCTGAAATGTTCATTTTCACCCTTTTATATTTAAACAGTTCCTGAATTCTTTAAAGATATAACAAACAGTTCTTCATTCTGAGAGCAGCTTCTTTTGCTGCTTCAGGGCATGCACTTCATGTTTTATTGCATGCTTGAAAACAAGATATGCAGTATCTGAACAGATAAAGCAAGCACAATTTTGAATGTAAAGAAAGCATTTTCTAAGGAGTGCCAGGAAATATACCTGTTATCTAAACTTGCTATTTCCTACTCTTGCGTACATGATTGTAAGAAATTCATATTGTTAGGAAAAAAAAAAAAGTCTAGGGAAGACAGATTATTATTTATTATAACTTTTTAGAACATTACAGAAGTTATCTGATACACTGTATGTTCCCAAATCTGTAATAAGTAAAAACTGTAAATAAGTTCCCAAATAAGTGATAAAATGGGGTGTGAAATCAGTTTTCAGAGTAAAAACTCAATTTGGCCCTCATTGATTTATGACATAATTGAAATTTTATGTATTTTATTAAATTAATATTAGGCCTATTAAGGAAAATTCCTTCAACCTGACCATAAACATTAGCTATATAATATTTTTGTGTGATCACTTTCCCAACTTGGGGGGAAATCTCTGTATTCTAATAAGGTCTATAACTTGGATTTCAGTTTGGAGGTGGGGAGAAGCATATTGTACTTGGCTTTCTTGGACTAATTTGTTGTGAGCCTTGGCACACGCTTATTCCAATACTGGATTTCTTGCATTGCAAGCTAATTGCAACACATGTCCTACCAGATATGTATAGGCGCATTGTTTTTACCCACGCATGTATCTTTTCAACCGCTCAAAGATTTCAGACTCATTTTTAGCAAGTTATTAAATTCTTCCCTCTATTTTACTGAGCCAGACACATGACATGACTTCTAATCCTTACATTAAATAAACTTTATAAGGTATGGTATTTTGTTTTCCTTCCAGATGGAATGAACTGGGAGGTTTTGTTGTTCCCACTGGTCGTTTACAGGTATTGAAATAATATTGGTTTATTATTACAACAAAGTTTTACTGATGTAAGTCAGTAGTTTGATAGGACAAGATGCTTTCAAAGAGCCATCTACCATAGGTGGAGCAGGAAGTATTGTTCATGAATCAGTAGATGACTGTCTTTACTCTGAGTCAGTACTTTACTAATATAAATATGTATATTATAGTAGTGCCCAAAGGCCCCAAATGGATTTAGGGCCACACTGTCTTTGGGTGGTGCTAGAAAAAAAGTGCTGCTGGAAGTATCTTCTTGCCAAATGAAATCTGAGAAATATTTTAAATTTAGTTTCCATTTCTGAAACTAGTGATAGTGGCACCGGTCTCGCTGAAAGTTGCTATCCTTTGTAACATTAACAGTACATAGGCAACAAGCCACACAATACAGTGGTTTTTAATAATTTTTTACATCTTGTCTTACAATCAGAAAAAATGTACTGTTCAATACTGAAAAAACTGCATTGTTCAAACATTAAAATTTTAGTTGAGTGTGGAATAAACATGCTTCAGTCTGATAGTAAATTCACGTACATGGAAACAAGAATTTAAAAGCATTCTTATTTTCACATTGTTGCACACTGTATAATTGTGATTACAATCAATAATTAAACAGGCAGTTTGACTCAAAATACTACTCTATGTATAGCATGGCAAAAGAATTACTGGCTTATGATTTTAAATATGGATATCATGATTGTATATTCTGCACACAAGATACAATATTGCTGAAACATAGTTTCCTTCTACCTATGATCATTTATGATTTTATCCTTTACATAAACTAGGGAACAAATGCTCAATTCCATATTAACAGAACATCAAGGGTCTGATATTTAAGGATAAATAGCTGAGTGAGCTATTTTAAACTCTCTAAACTCTCTAAATAGCTAATTTTAAACTCTCTAAAAGAAAGAAGAATATGCAAGCCAAAAGAATATTGCCTTGATTTATATATCTTCAAGTATTGCATGTCTACCTGTGTTTAATGTATTAACAAAGTAAGCCATAAATCAGATATCATTCCTATGAAAATATTAGATGGTATTTATGCTTTCAGCCCTTCAGATTATAAAATACCAAGCCTTATGTGGGCATTATGTAATTGAAGAACACAGGCACAAGTGGTGGTTAGAAAGATATGCATATTGTAATCTTTAACAGAACTTGTACACCTGTTGCCTATGAATAGGAGTGTTGAAAATATAAACCCCATTGTCTTATGGCCACAGCAATATGATAGCATGTTTTGTTTTTTATATTTCAGTCTTAGTAGCAAGACTTAAAAATGGGAACTTTATTTTTGCATTCCAGTGGCATCCAGCATTTTTTTGCAATAAATCATAAGTGTGTTATGAGAGGGAAGAAGAGTTTAGTGTTTTAGGAAGCTGATAATAGTGAGACTCTTTTGAACTGAGGCTTTAGCAGTTTTCTGTAACATAGACAATTGCAGCCTAAATGATTTAAGATCTTGACTTATTCACACAAGATTTTGAATAATTAAGTATTTGAGTTTTGACAAGTTTATTAGGAAACCACGAGAACAATTCCTTTGTAGAGTAAGCATGAATGTAATGATTGGGAACTGGTTAAAGAATCTCCCATTTATTCTTATTTCTTTCCTAGACTGGTGTTCTTCGAACCAATTGTGTTGACTGTTTAGATCGCACTAACACAGCCCAGTTCATGGTGGGGAAGTGTGCTTTAGCCTATCAGCTCTATTCTTTGGGGTTGATTGATAAACCCAATCTGCAGTTTGACACAGATGCTGTTAGGTAAGATATTTCACAGTTAGTAAAATATGTTGTTTTTTCCTGGCATTAATTTTGTAACTGTTTAATATTGTTATCTTTTTCTGTGGCTTTTTATGTTTTGATGTTTTCATAATTTTTCTTTAAGTGAAAATACTTTAAGTGAAAATACTTACCAAATAAATGTTCAGATTGTTTGGTTTTTTTTCAGCTAACTAAATTATCCATTCATCTCTCCGTATGACATTTAACATAGAAATCCATGTAACTTCAAGATTACCTTTATTTGATTAGTATGCTTATCAGGCTCCTTTCAGGATAACAAAACTGAGCACTTCTCTTTTGATACTTAAACTTCAAACTTAAAAACTCTGTCCTTTAAATAAACATAATAAAAATGTACTATAAAGCTTTTAATTTTTGTATTGCAGTTTGCCTTTAAAGTGAGCTAAGCATAATTTTTTGCCAGATGTTCCCAGTAACCAGAAATACAATGCAGAAATACATTTTAACTTATTTTTCTTCATTTTCCTTTCTACGGTATCTTCTTGGTTCTTTTTGGTGCATTGAAGAGAGGGAAAAATAATCATCCTTCTGCAACCTCTTTGAACATTTTCAGATTATACACATATGCCTTTGACATTGAAGTTGGAACCCTCTAAATATTAGTGATCATTAAAGCTTGCAAGAGTGTTTTCTCAGGGATTTGGACATTTGGGCCTGATTGTATAAATATGAGGTACAATTTTGGCCACATTGTTTTCTTTATTACTGTAATAGAGACCTCGGAACTCATGGCTTCAGGTAGTTAGTTCAGTATTTCTTGCATAGTGTAGCTTATTGGAACAGTGAGATTGGGGGAGATATTTCCCTTTTTTTTTTTTTTAAGTAAAGATAGGATTTTACAATTAATAGTCATTGTTTGGTTTGTTCATAATACTGACTCTGATCAGTTTGGTGTTCTTAACTTCCCTGTTAGTTCTGCTTGAATTTCCTGATGGCAGATTCAAAGCATTTGGGGTTTGAGGTGAGTCTCCTTTAATGGGAAGATGCCAGTCTCAGACCAGTATGCTTGCCTTCATTGTTTTGGAGAAAGACATGGCTACAGTCTTTATCTGGTAGTCCCACAAAGGGAATTGCCTGTGGCTGTTCCTACAGGAAGAATGGCTCCTCCATGTCTCCCTCAACTTTACTGCAATCTTGGCTAAATGCTTTGGCATCAGCAGTTATCTCAGCACAAGGGTACTCGAGGGAAGAAAAGCGAGTCAGATCTGCATTCTGCTTCCAAGAAGCCTAAAGAGAAGACTGCTGGATCTCTGGGGTTGCAGGATCCAGAGATAGTAATGCATATAAAGAAGAGGAAGAATAATAAGCACCACATATCTGAGAGTTCCCTCCTATTCTTGTTCACATTCAAAAAGTCATAATAAGCATAAATCTGGGAAGATCTTTGTTACTAGAGGATTTAGTTGCCTTCCTATTGAAACCAATTGAACAACTTTCAATCCCAGAGGCAGACCCCTTTGGGACAGTCACCTGCTCAATACCACAAATCTGACACAACCATATTTCTCCAAGCAGAAGGTGAAGCAACAGAGACAGAAGAAACTGTTTTGCTGCTTTGCCTTTAAGGCATCAGGTTTGATGGGACATCAAAAAAATTGTGAGGGTAATATTCGTTGGAGGTTTTCTGATCTTCCACTTTGTTGGCCCCTTTTCTCTTGGGTATTGAGGGTTGTTTTTTTTAACCTTTGGACAGTTGTACGACTTACTGTTGTTTCTGCTTTTTGAAGAGAGATCAAAATGTGTTACTTCATGTGGCCTTCTGGTATGGATATCTGCTTCAATTATTATGTTTTTTAAATCTCTTCACTTGCTGAATGGTTTTTAGATTGGATTTTCAGATTTACTTTTCAGAACAGTGAGGAATTATTTGAGATCATGCACAGAAGATCCTTCTATACATCTTCCTCCGATGCATCTACCAGAACTTTAATTTCTAGGAAGGAAAGGAAAAAAAAATTCTGAAAGTTCTCATAATACCAAAAAGCCAAAATAAGCAAACCTATCTGTTTTTGAATAATGCAGGGTACTATGCTAGTTTCCATCGTTTTCTCAACTCTAAGTCCAGAAACAGATTTGAACTTTAAAAAGTAATTATACAGTAGCCAGAAATAATGTGCTGTTGTGATAGAAGTATTTGATTCCTATCATTTGTATACTGTTGACCTGCAAATCTGCCACTCCACACCTAATCTGTTGTCTTTTTTTATCCATTTCCACATCTCATCCTTCTTCCTCTGACATCTCTTTTTGGAAGGTTAAAACTGACCTTATTTTTCTGCCCAATTCTTTTTCTTTCTCTTTTCTCCATTACTTATACCATCATCCTTCCTTCAGGGTCACTTTTGATTCCTTTCTCTCATCCGCCTCTCACATCTAGGCTTTGTATAAATCTTTCTGCTTCCCCTCTGATGCAGCTTTTTTTCTCTCCCACAATACATCCAGTCCTAATTTCTCATTTTGATTACTGTAGTCGCCTCCACTCTGATCTCCCTGACATTCACATAACATCTCCCATTGCCAGTCTGTCTGAAATGCAGCTACTAGAATTACCCTCCTATCTATTTGACCACATTCACCTTTTTTTTGTGAAGCTCTGCCTTCTGTATTACATCTCATGTATACTTGTCTTGTCCCTAGTTAACACTGACTCTTACTGTCTGACTTAGTAAAGAGACAATGTTTTGATATATTCATACTTTCAAAATTATTAAACTTTTTACGGTCTTTAAAAAAACATAAGAATGATCATACTGAGTCAGAACAATGGTCCATTAAGCCCAGTTTCCTGTCTTCCAGCAATGGCCAATGCCAGATGCTTCAAAGGGAGTGAACAGAACAGGCAATCATCAAGTGATCCATCCCCTGTCATCCAGTCCCAGCATCTGGCAGTCAGAGGCTTAGGGACACCCAGAGCATGGGGTTGCATGCCTGACCATCTTAGCTAATAGTCATTGGTGGACCTATCCTCCATGAATTTATCTAATCCTTTTTTGAACCCAGTTATAGTTTTGTCCTTCACAGCATCCCTGGCAATGAGTTCACAGGTCAAGCCCATCTGGTCCTGGGGATTTTTTACTGTTTAATTTAGCAATTTCTTCAAAAACCTCCTCTTTTGATATGAACAGTTCTTCAGATTTGTCACCTAAAAAGAATGGCTTGTGTGTGGGATTGTCTCTCACATCCTTAGTGAAGTCCAATGTGAAGAATTCATTTCGTTTCCCTACAATAGCCTTGTCTTCCATGAGTGTTCATTTAGTTGAAATGTTGATCGTCTAGTGGCCACACTGATTGGTTTGGCAGGCTTCCTGCTTCTGATGTACTTAAGTTTTTTGCTGTTTTTGAGTCTTTTGCTGGTTGCTCTTCAAATTCTTTTTTGGCCTTCCTAATTATACTTTTACTCTTGACTTGCGAGAGTTTATTAGAATCATAGAATATCAGGGTTGGAAGGGACCTCAGGAGGTCATCTAGTCCAACCCCCTGCTCAAAGCAGGACCAATCCCCAATTAAATCATCCCAGCCAGGGCTTTGTCAAGCCTGACCTGAAAAACTTCTAAGGAAGGAGATTCTACCACCTCCGTAGGTAACGCATTCCAGTGTTTCACCACCCTCCTAGTGAAAAAGTTTTTCCTAATATCCAACTTAAACCTCCCTCACTGCAACTTGAGACCATTACTCCTTGTCCTGTCCTCTTCTACCGCTGAGAATAGTCTAGAACCATCCTCTTTGGAACCCCCTTTCAGGTAGTTGAAAGCAGCTATCAAATCCCCCCTCATTCTTCTCTTCTGCAGACTAAACAATCCCAGTTCCCTCAGCCTCTCCTCATAAGTCATGTGTTCCAGACCCCTAATCATTTTTGTTGCCCTTCGCTGGACTCTCTCCAATTTATCCACATCCTTCTTGTAGTGTGGGGCCCAAAACTGGACACAGTACTCCAGATGAGGCCTCACCAATGTCGAATAGAGGGGGACGATCACGTCCCTCGATCTGCTCGCTATGCCCCTACTTATACATCCCAAAATGCCATTGGCCTTCTTGGCAACAGGGGCACACTGCTGACTCATATCCAGCTTCTTGTCCACTGTGACCCCTAGGTCCTTTTCCGCAGAACTGCTGCCTAGCCATTCGGTCCCTAGTCTGTAGCGGTGCATTGGGTTCTTCCGTCCTAAGTGCAGGACCCTGCACTTATCCTTATTGAACCTCATCAGATTTCTTTTGGCCCAATCCTCCAATTTGTCTAGGTCTCTCTGTATCCTATCCCTCCCCTCCAGCGTATCTACCACTCCTCCTAGTTTAGTATCATCCGCAAATTTGCTGAGAGTGCAATCCACACCATCCTCCAGATCATTTATGAAGATATTGAACAAAAGGGGATCCAGGACTGACCCCTGGGACACTCCACTTGACACCAGCTGCCAACTAGACATGGAGCCATTGATCACTACCTGTTGAGCCCGACAATCTAGCCAACTTTCTACCCACCTTATAGTGCATTCATCCAGCCCATACTTCTTTAACTTGCTGACAAGAATACTGTGGGAGACCGTGTCAAAAGCTTCGCTAAAGTCAAGAAACAATACATCCATTGCTTTCCCTTCATCCACAGAACCAGTAATCTCATCATAGAACGCGATTAGATTAGTCAGGCATGACCTTCCCTTGGTGAATCCATGCTGACTGTTCCTGATCACTTTCCTCTCATGTAAGTGCTTCAGGATTGATTCTTTGCGGACCTGCTCCATTATTCTTCTTTCTGTTTTCCTTATTAGGATTTGACTTCCATTTTTAAAGGATGCCTTTTTGCCTCTAATCACCTCCTTTACTCTGTTTAGCCATGATTGCATTTTTTGGTCCTCTTATTATTCTTTTTAATTTGGGGTTTACATTTAATTTGAGCCTCTATTATGGTGTCTTTAAAATGTGTCCGTTAAGCTTGTGGGCATTTCACTCTTGTGACTGTATCTTTTAATGTCTGTTTTAACTAGTGTCCTCATTTTTGTGTAGTTCCCCTTTCTGAAGTTAAATGCTACTTTTTTGGTATTTTCCCTCCACAAGGATGTTTAAATTTAATTTATATTATGGTTGCTTTTACTGAGTGTTTCAGCTATATTCACCTCTTGGACCACCTGTGCTCCATTTAGGACTAAATCAAGAATTGCCTCTCTCCTGGTGGGTTTCCAGGACTAGCTGCTCCAAGAAGCACTTATTAATGGTGTCTAGAAACTTTATCTCTGCATCCCATCCTGAGGTGATATGTACCAGCCAATATGGGGATAGTTGAAATCCCCCATTATTATTGAGTTTATCTGAGCATTTCACGGTCACCATCACCATCCTCGTCAGGGGGTCGATATTATATTCCTACTGCTATACTCTTATTATTGAAGCATGGAGTTTCTAGCCATAGAGATTTTATGGCACTATTTGATTCATTTAAGATTTTTACTATATTTGACTTTCTTACACATGTAATGCAAATTGTGCTTACTAGTGGTTTAACTGTTCATTAACAATGAAATTGTCTTTATGGAAATTTAAATTGCAACAGTCTTAAATGAGAACTCCCTCCTGAAGGGGTTATAAAATAGCTGAAGGCTAAATCCTGCCTGAGCATCTGTTGGAGACTTAAGGAGCAGGACCATTATAAAATGTATACTTGTAGGTTTATAACTAACAGGTTCTTTCTAAAAAAAACCTGGCTGACTTGCTTATTTTATAGGCCTTGATCAGGATATGCAGGCAGGATACAGGAGAATGAAACAAAAACAGGTGGATTTAAGGTGGCATCCTGCAACTTTATTAAGTCAGGTTTATTGGGAGTGGGATGATGATGATGGAATCTCCCAGCGAGCTCAATAGATGAGCTGTAGTCACTTATTGTGGGTCCTGAAGTGAAATCAAAGACCAATTTTGGACCTGCAGCCCTGTTTGCAAGTACCACAGGTTAAGAGAATTGTAGATGAACATGTGCTGCTTTTAGCTTTACTCCTCGTGCATCTCTCTTTGATTGCAGCAATCCACGAGCTCTCAAGATCTTTCAGACTGAGGTGGCAGAGATGCCACCATCAGATCTTGTCAGATGCTGAGAGCTCCCAGGTATTGTGATCAACATTGCAAGATTGGAGGTTGCCTTGAGAGAGCGTTTTTGTAATGTTTTCTTGGTCTGCAAATAAAACAAGTTCTAGTGTGCAATTCTTCATAAAAGACTGCCTTCAATATTCTACTGCCAGACTTATGGACCTCACCATCTCAGCTGCATTCACTATAAAAGCTTTAATGCCCATGACCACACTCCAGAGATACCAAGCATTACTACTTGTGTCAAGTGTGGTGGTAAATGCCTCATTCCAAATAACTAATATTCAGGGTTGGACTCCATTCTGAGTCCTTTTACCACCCCCACAAAGGGGAATATGGGTACCCTTGAGGGGTTACCTCAGAGGTGGGCAAACTGGCCTGCAGGACAATCCTGCCCGGCCCCTGAGCTCCTGGCCCGGGAGGCTAGGGGCGAGGGATCCGGGGGCGGTCAGGGAGAAGGAGTGGTTAGATGAGGCAGGGATCCAGGGGGGCAGTCAGGAAGGAGGGGAGGGGTTGGATGGGGCGGCGGGGGGCAGTTAGGGGTGGGGGTCCGGGGGCGGTCAGGGGACCAAGAGCGCGGGGTGGATGGGGCAGGGGTTCCCAGGGGGCTGTCGGGGAACAGGGGGGCTTGGATGGGGAAGGAGTCCGGGGAGGGGGGGAGCATCTGGGGGCAAGAAGTGTGGGGGTCAGATAGGGGGCAGAGGCCAGGCCATGCCTGGCTGTTTGGGGAGGCACAGTCTCCCCTAACCGGCCCTCCATACAATTTCAGAAACCCAATGCGGCCCTCAGGCCAAAAAGTTTGCCCACCTCTGGGTTACCTTATTCTTTGAAGATTTAAGATCTTCCTTTCTCCCTACAAGCCAACAGCATCCAGCAATCATTTCCCTGGTCTCTTATTCATGTTTACTTCTGGGAGCTATAAGGACATATATTCTCATTTAATAAATATTTAAGTATCTAAGGTATTATAACTAATGAGCAAGTGTAAGTTTGGTTTTAGAGCCCAGTCCTGTAGTGATTACCCTACTTTGGCAAAACTTCCACGGAAGTGATTATCTGAGTAAACACTCCAAAACTGGACCTGGAATGTATGATCACAGTATTTTAGACTTCAGTGTGATTAGGCTAGTGATAATTATGTTATCTCTGTTTTTGTAAACTGGCAGCAATATATAGGAGAAAAAATATTTCATTTAATAAGGGGGAAAAAAATCTAGGTATCTCAAGAATTCCACAGTAGTTACTTAAAATGAAGGAATTAAACTTTTAATATTTGGGGAAAATATTTCTAAGTTTCCATTTCTGAACATATTGTTAGGGTTTTATAACTCTAAGATTAATTTCACTCTGTTAAAATCTACCTGTTTGTTAAAATAAGCATAGATATATATTTACTTGGCCTTCTTATGGTCCCTGATGTATACTATTTATACCTCTCTCTCTCTCTCTCTCTCTCACACACATCCACCCACCCATGTGTATATGTACATAATGTGTACAATAATTTCTTTGTGCATGCCCTGATAAGGCTAATATCTGAAGTGGGCAGCAGGAGGAGATTATCAGAAAAGTTTGGTGCTTTGATCTTTGAGTCTTTTAGACCAGAGCAGATGTAGAGTTAGTTGCCCGGTACATGCTTAGTTTGTTTAAGAGAATGTTGCAAAAGAACCCTTAACTCCTCTTGCAGTAGTTGCCACCTCTGTAATCTTTACTAGCTAAATTAACATTTTGGAAAGACAACTGGCTTTTCTGGTTCAGAAGTATGGCACTCATTACATTAACTGAAAATAGTTTATTTGGAATTCTACCTACTTTAAGTCTTTTTAAAACATAAAGGTAAGTAAGGCATAAAATACAGAGTAGAGAAGCATTCACTTTCTAGTAGTGGTGATAGAATTCTCAGATATTTTGGTTTCATTGGTTTAGATTGTTTGAGGAGTTGTATGAAGATCATGGAGACACACTTTCTCTGCAATATGGAGGTTCTCAACTTGTTCATCGAGTAAAAACCTACAGGAAGATAGCACCATGGACCCAGCATTCCAAAGATATTATGCAGACACTCTCAAGATATTACAGTAATGCTTTTTCAGGTAAATGGAATTCATGAGTGTTTTCTTTTAAGCCAATATTTAGATAGCAATATGTACATACATATCTTGCTCTCTTTGCATTAGTAAATATTGCTTGTCAGCAGCTGGTTTCTGCAAATTTAGGGAAATATTTAAAAAAGAGCATTTTAAAACAGCTGGTTACTTTGATCACTGAAATTCTGTGATAATAGGATAATATCTTTTATTGGACCAATTTCTTTTGGTGAGAGAGACAAGCATCAGCCACACAGAGCTTTTCTTCCTGTCTTGGAAAAGTATTCCAAGCTTCACAGCTAAATGCAAGATGGAACAGATGGTTTAGTATAAGTAGATAGCACATATTCTAAGGGACCATTCAAGGTTTATGACAATAGACACATTCAGTGTGTTTAAGGTTTTTTTTTCTCCTCCATTAACCTCTGGATTTTACACTGGGAAACTTTAGGGTAAAGAATTAGGTGATTTGGTTATATTGATGCTAATCTGACATGTCCTCTGTTTTTTTTTTCCCCACTCTAAAATCTGTTGACTTCTCTAGCCACAGCCTCGTATTTTCCATCTGAGAATCTTATGTTTTGTTTTTCAGATATTAATGAAGTATGTCCGCCATGACCAACCCTATGCGTTAGGGTATGTCAGTATTATCACTGTTTATGGATGGGGAAGCAGAGGCATAGAAAGATTTAGTGATTTGCCTAAAATCACACTGCAAGTCAGTTTCAGAACTGCGATTAGAAACTGCCTGGTCACTGCTAGGCTCATGCCTAACCCATTAGATCACAGTGTCGTTTAACCTTGTCTTTTGCCCATTTGTAAAAATGGGTGATGATGATAATAATTGACAGTTACATAGCACTTTTTCATCTGTCCTCAGAGCCCTTGGGGTAAGCATTACTAACCACATTGTACAGATGAGATCGATAAGGCACAGATTGGTTAAGTGATTTGCCTGGAGACACTCTGGTCTAGATGAAGCCTGGATCTGAAAGCAGGTGACCTGAGTTGCAGTCTTGATTCTAACACTTCCTGGCTCTGTACCTTAATTTCTCTATGTCTCAGCTTCCTTTTCCATATCTGAAAAATAGAGGTAGTGATGATTGCCTCCTAAATGGGGCTACTGAGGCTTAAACAATGTTTCCAAAGTATTAAGGCAGGTCAGTGGCAAAGGTGAGAATAAAACTCAAAAATGGCTCAATTGAATTTGCTGTAACTTAAAAAAATAGTAAATAAAAATTCACCTTTTAGGCAGAGACCAAGCATAAACAAATTCCTTGTATGTTGAATTTTTTTGAGACAGTTATGAGCATGAGAAAAAGTAGAGGATTGTAATGGAAGTCAGAATTCAGCTCTTTTACTGAAGAGTTGCTGCTACTTCTGGTTAATATATTGTAATAAAGTTACAGCCTTCTTACACTTTTAAAAACAATGAATAGGAGCAATCATTTAAGCATACCCTTGACAAGCTCTCTGACAGGCTTGAATTCCACCATTTTTTGTTTCCTTTTAACTGCTGACAGAAAAGTTGGAAGAGCATGTTCTTCTTCGAGAGCTTGCTCATGTCGATTTTCATTCTAGGTGTGCACTCGCCTATGTGTGCAGGCATTGGAGACTTTTGCCAGGGGTCGGCAACCTTTCAGAAGTGGTGTGCCAAGTCTTCATTTATTCACTTTAAATTAAGGTTTTGCGTGCCAGTAATACATTTTAATGTTTTTAGAAGGTCTCTCTCTAAGTCTATATATTATATAACTAAACTGTTGTCGTATGTAAAGTAAACAAGGTTTTCAAAATGTTTAAGAAGCTTAATTTAAAATTAAATTAAAATGCTGATCTTATGCCGCCAGCCCGCTAAGCCCGCTGCCAGCCTGGGGTCCCGGCCCTGCCCACATAGAGTGGGTAGCTACCTTCTCCCTGGTTCTAGCCCATTCTCTTCCTCTCTCTGTGCACTGAGCTGAGGGTGGGAGTGCACTGAGCACAGAGCTGGGAGTGAAGGATCAGGCTGGGGTCTGGGGTGTAGGGTCTGGTCAGAAGCTAGAATGAGGGAGGGGGCTCAGGGTTGGGGCAGGAGGTTTGGGTGAGGAGTGCTTACAAGGGCAGCTCCCATTTGGTGCAAGGGGTGCAGGTGAGAATGTGGTGGGGGGAAGTGCAGGAGCTCCCGTTTGGTGCTCAGGGTAGGGGGGGGAATGTGGGGGGGTGCAAGATTCAGGGCATGGGGTGTGGGGGGGCTGGGTATGTGTGGGGGGTGCAGGAGTCAGGGCAGAGGGCTGGGGGCATGTGAGGGGAGGACAGGAGTCAGGGCATGGGGGGGATATGCCCTGATTCTACCCCACGGCCCCGTCCCCACCTCTTCTCCGCCTCCTCTCCGGAGCAGTGAGCGCGCTCCGGCTCCACTTCTCCCCCTCCCTTGCCAGGGCCATCAGCTGATTGGCAGCAGGGAAGGAGAGGAGGAGGGACAGGAACCCAGCATGCCGGTGGGGGAAGGGGGACCTTGCCTGCCCTGCAGCAGCAGCCCGCAGGACCAAACTTCTTCACCCTGCCCCCGTGGTGGGAAGCGGGGGGTGGAGAAGAGCGGGCTGGGACAGGCAAGATTTTTAATGGCATGCTGCTGCCTGCTGGGGTCCCAGCCGCTGGCCCACTCAGCCCACAGCTGGCCTGGGTTCGCTTGCCATAGGTTGCTGACCCCTGCCTTAGTGGTATCCGGAGGGCCAGCTGTGGTGCCTCCCTTGAGTGCCGTGCTCATGCGTTGGTATGTCAGATGCCATCATCCCTTTGCCCTCTCAATTCCTTCTTACTGCCCATGGTGGTTAGTTGAGTGCCTTTCCTTGCATAGCAAGAGCTACCGGTTTAGTCTCTTCTGACTTCAAGCCTTAGGGCCTTGTAAATAGTTGTTTATAGTAGTTAGTGTTAAGTAGTTAAGTGTAGTTAGAAGTTAGAGTCCCAACAGGGACTTTGCCCCAGGTGGGGCATGCCCCGGTGTGTGGGGTTTAAGCCCTGTGCGGACTGTAACAGGCCTATACCTTTAAGTGACCCCCACAGCAGCTGCCTCAAGTGCTTGGGGAATCGCATGTGAAGGACAAGTGTCGTATTTGTAAAAAATTTTGACCCAGGACTCAGAAAGAGTGGGATATTCATTTGCGGGCTCTCCTCCTGGAGGCTGCCCTTCATCCGGCTTCCGAGACGTCCCGCCAAGACTCGCCTAGTATTTTGGTATGCACCCCCAATACCGGGCTCTGCCTGGCACTGTTCCCCGTCACTGGTGCCCAGAAAAAAAATGAAGAACCACAGCTCCCTGGCACCAGACAAGAAAGGCCCTGGGGCATCAAGCAAAGGATCCAGTTTGGGCCGCCCTGCCACTCCAGAGCCACATGGACATGCCACCCCCATTGGGGCCTGTTAGGAGGCTTATTCCTTCACCCACTTACTTCTCTGGTCCTTCTCGCATGAACAGAGAGCAACAATACCCGAAGTCCAAAGGTGCAAACAATTCGAAGTTTATTGGGGTGAACTTCCAGGAAGCATGATTCCAGTTTCCTTCCTTAGTGCCCCCCTTCCCAGCTCTGACACCACAGAGGCTTACCTGTGTCCCTGTTCCCATTTCCCCCTTTAGCTAAACATGATTCCAATTTCCCCACCCCCATTCCCTGTTCCCATTTACCTCACTCACTCCCACCCACACACCCCCTCACTTCCTGATTGACTGCAGACTATATAGTAAAACTTGAGTTCTGCTTAGCTATACCTTAAATTTCAGTGAAATGATTGGTTAACTAACCAATCCTAATGTATTGTAACATGATTATTCAACCAATTATATCCCACCACCTATTTAGTTTAAGATTAATTATATCCCACCACCCAGCAAAATTAATTATACAGCAGACAGAAACAATCACAGAACCAGACAGAGATTATGCAGACAAACAATAGGGAAATGGGGACTACAGTGATAGAGCAAACACAGAAATGAGGATTTCACATCCCAGCTATTGATAAGTGAGTTCTTGCCAGACAGGATGCTATCAAACTAAGTTTCCTTTTACATCTTCTAGGCACTTCCCTTTCTCTGGAGGCAATAGGCATTATCAGGACAGGATTGTACTCCTAACAGCCCAATAGCACCTTATTTCAATGTGACTAGTTTGGAATTTGAGGATGTGACTGTTCGGTTCCCAGCTTATGGCTGCCTCTGCTGCTTAGCCAAAGGCCTTAGCCTAAGCACAGGGCCTCAGACTGTCTCAGTAAGAGAAGGCTCTTATAGCAGCAGACAGTGATTTTGATTCTTTCTTTTATACCTCTAACTAGCCAAGTGATAAGAATACACCTAAATTCTTAGAGTATAGGCCTTTACAGACAGGCCTGAATATCTATATCCTAACAGGGCCCTTAGTCCCTTAAAGTATCCACCACCGGCTCCCAGGAGTGGTAGGGACCCAAACTTCTGACGGCATTGACACCTTCCCAAGTTTCCCCCATCACTGATAGAGCAGAGGCCTCCGCCCACGCTGCTGGCACCACGCGTGCCGCAGGAAGTGGCAAAGACTCCCTACTAGGGCAAGCCAATTGCTAAGACTCCTCGCGGGGCAGTGGAGTGCTGCCAGTCCCCAGAGACAAGCAGCACTCTCCATCTCTGTGCCGCAGATCTCCGGTGTTGCGCCCCAGATCCTCTGGGGCTCACCCTCAGTCACCAGCACTGCGATCGCAGTCCCCACAGTTTTGACGCAGATCGCCTTGTGGGGGGCGCTGGTCTCCATTCCATTGGCACCAATTTCCCTCTCGCTTCTTGTCCTCTCAGTGCAGATCTGTCGCCTGCCCCCGGGGGAGTGCTCCCCATTGCGATTCCGGTCCCCCTGGGACTTGTCCCCTCAATACCGACACCGATCCTCAAACTCCAAACACCTGTCTCCAGAAGTGATGGTCAGCAGGCAGACCCAGGCGTCAATGGCCCACCATGGTCAACGGAAGGGAATTTCTCCAGCACAGAAGGGCAGCGCAGCCCCTTGTCA